GTGTATGTGTGTATGTGTGTGTGTGTATGTGTGTGTATGTGTGTGTATGTGTGTATGTATGTATATGTGTGTGTATGTATGTATATGTGTGTGTGTATGTGTGTGTATGTGTGTGTGTATGTGTGTGTGTATGTGTATATGTGTATGTGTGTATGTATATGTGTGTGTGTATGTGTGTGTATATGTGTGTGTGTATGTGTGTGTATATGTGTGTATGTGTATGTATGTGTGTATGTATGTGTGTGTATGTGTGTATATGTGTGTGTGTATGTGTGTATGTGTATGTATGTGTGTGTATGTATATGTGTGTGTGTGTATATGTGTGTGTGTGTCTGTGTGTGTATGTGTGTGTCTCTGTGTGTGTGTATGTGTGTGTCTCTGTGTGTGTGTATGTGTGTGTCTCTGTGTGTGTGTATGTGTGTGTGTGTGTTTCTGTGTATGTGTGTGTCTCTGTGTGTGTGTGTATGTGTGTGTGTGTATGTGTCTGTGTATGTGTCACGTGTCTGTGTGTGTCAGGGTCGAGAGGTCACGTCAAGATTCTTGGGTTTCCGGCTACGCAGGAAGCGAAGGGGCGGGGCTGGAGGGGCCCCCAAGCGAGGGGGAGGGGCACCACCACCCCCCACCCCCGTGGAGGAGGAGATCGTCAGTAGCCCCTCCCCCTCTCCCTCAGCACCCACCCACACACTCAGTCACTCACTCACTCACCCACTCAGTCACTCACTCACCCACTCACTCACTCACCCACTCACTCAGTCACTCACCCACTCAGTCACTCACTCACTCACCCGCTCACTCACCCACTCACTCACCCACCCACTCAGTCACTCACTCAGTCACTCACTCACTCACCCACCCACTCAGTCACTCACTCAGTCACTCACTCACTCACCCACCCACCCACTCACCCACCCACTGACTCACTCACTCACTCACTCACCCACTCACTCACCCACTCACTCACCCACTCTCTCACCCACCCACTCAGTCACTCACTCACTCAGTCACTCACTCAGTCACTCACCCACTCACTCACCCACTCACTCACCCACTCACTCACCCACTCACCCACTCACTCACCCACTCACCCACTCAGTCACTCACTCACTCACTCACCCACTCACTCAATCACCCACTCACTCACCCACTCACTCACCCACACACTCACTCACTCACCAACTCACCCACTCACTCAGTCACCAACTCACCCACCCACTGACTCACTCACTCACTCACCCACTCACTCACCCACTCACTCACCCACTCACTCACCCACTCACACACTCACTCACTCACCCACTCACTCACTCACTTAATCACCCACTCACTCACCCACTCACTCACTCACTCACCACCACCACTCACTCACTCACTCACCCGCCTCACTCACCCACTCACTCACCCACCCACTCAGTCACTCACTCAGTCACTCACTCACTCACCCACCCACCCACTCACCCACCCACTGACTCACTCACTCACCTACTCACTCACTCAGTCACCCACTCACTCACCCACTCACTCACCCACTCTCTCACCCACCCACTCAGTCACTCACTCACTCAGTCACTCACTCAGTCACTCACCCACTCACTCACCCACTCACTCACCCACTCACTCACCCACATCACCCACTCACTCACCCACTCACCCACTCAGTCACTCACTCACTCACCCACTCACTCAATCACCCACTCACTCACCCACTCACTCACCCACACACTCACTCACTCACCAACTCACCCACTCACTCAGTCACTCACTCACCCACCCACTGACTCACTCACTCACTCACCCACTCACTCACTCACCCACTCACCCACTCACTCACCCACTCACTCACCCACTCACACACTCACTCACTCACCCACTCACTCACTCACTTAATCACCCACTCACTCACCCACTCACTCACTCACTCACCCACCCACTCACTCACTCACTCACCCACCCACTCACTCACTCACTCACCCACCCACTCACTCACCCACCCACTCACTCACACACTCACTCACTCACTCACCCACCCACTCACTCACCCACCCACTCACTCACTCACCCACTCACCCACCCATTCACTCACTCAACCACTCACTCACTCACCCACTCACTCACCCACTCACTCACTCACCCATTCACCCACTCACCCACCCACTCACTCACTCACCCATTCACTCACTCACTCACTCACCCACTCACTCACCCACCCACTCACTCACCCACTCACTCACGCACTCACCCACCCATTCACTCACTCACCCATTCACTCACTCAACCACTCACTCAGTCACCCACTCACTCACCCACTCACTCACTCACCCATTCACCCACTCACCCACTCACTCACTCACTCACCCACTCACTCAGTCACTCACTCACTCACTAACCCATTCACTCACTCACTCACCCACTCACTCACCCAATCACTCATTCACCCACTCACCCACTCACTCACTCACTCACTCACCCACTCACTCACCCAATCACTCACTCACCCACCCACCCACTCACCCACCCACTCACTCACCAACTCACCCACTCACTCACTCACCCACTCACTCACTCACTCAGCCACCCACCCAATCACCCACTCACTCACTCACCCACTCACTCACCCACTCACTCACCCACTCACTCACCCACTCACTCACCCATTCACTCACTCAGCCACCCACCCATTCACCCACTCACTCACTCACCCACTGACTCACCCACTCACTCACACACTCACCCACCCACTCACTCACCCACTAACTCACTCACTCACCCATGGTGATGGTGGTGCTGGTGATGGTGGTGATTGTGTTGGTGATGGTTGTGATGGTGATGGTTGTAATGATTGTGGTGGTGGTGGTGGTGATGGTTGTGGTTGTGATGGTTGTGATGGTTGTGGTGGTGGTTGTGATGGTTGTGATGGTTGTGGTGGTGGTGATGGTTGTGGTGGTGATGATTGTGATGGTTGTGGTGGTGGTGGTTGTGGTGGTGATGGTTGTGGTGGTGGTGGTGGTTGTGGTGGTGGTGTTGGTGGTGTTGGTGATGTTGGTAGTGGTGGTGGTTGCGGTTGTGATGTTGGTGGTTATGGTGGTGATGGTTGTGATGGTGATGGTTGTGATGGTGGTGGTTGTGATGGTGGTGGTTGTGGTGTTGATGGTATTGGTGGTTGTGGTGGTGATGCTTGTGCTGATGGTGGTTGTGGTTGTGGTGGTTGTGGTGATGGTGGTTGTGATGGTGGTGGTGATGGTGGTTGTGGTGATGGTGGTTGTGGTGATTGTGGTTGTGGTAATGGTGATGGTGGTTGTGATGGTGTTTGTGATGGTGGTGGTTGTGGTGATGGTGGTTGTGGTGATGGTGGTTGTGGTTGTTGTAGTTGTGGTGATGGTGGTTGTGGTGATGGTGGTTGTGGTGATGGTGGTTGTGGTTGTTGTGGTTGTGGTGATGGTGGTTGTGGTTGTTGTGGTTGTGGTGATGGTGGTTGTGGTGTAGTGATGGTGGTTGTTGTTGGTGGTGGTTGTGGTTGTTGTAGTTGTGGTGATGGTTGTGGTGATGGTGGTTGTGTTGATGGTTGTTGTTTATGGTGGTTGTGGTGGTTGTTGTTGTTGATGGTGGTATTTGTGTTGATGGTGGTTGTGGTTGTGATGGTTGTGGTGGTTGTTGTTGTTGTGGTGGTGGTTGTGGTGATGGTGTTGATGGTGGTGGTTGTTGTTGTTGTGGTGGTTGTGGTGGTTGTTGTTGTTGATGGTGGTATTTGTGTTGATGGTGGTTGTGGTTGTGATGGTTGTGGTGGTTGTGGTGGTTGTTGTGGTTGTGGTGATGGTGTTGATGGTTGTGGTGGTTGTTGTTGTTGTGGTGGTTGTTGATGGTTGTTGTTGTTGATGGTTGTGGTTGTTGTGGTTGTGCTAGGCCCAGGTTGAGGACGCTGTCTCGTTCCTGCTCGCCGCTCTCTCTGGACAGCTCCAGGTGGTGGTGGTGGTGGTGATGGTGGTGGTTGTTGTTGTTGGTGGTTGTTGTGGTGATGGTGTTTGTGTTGATGGTTGTGGTGGTTGTTGTTATTGTGGTGGTGGTGGTTGTTGTGGTTGTTGTGTTGGTGGACCCACGTGATCACACGTGTTGGTGGTAGTGATGATGGTGGTTGTTGTTGATGGTGGTTGTTGTGGTGATGGTGTTGATGGTTGTGGTGATGGTGTTTGTGTTGATGGTTGTGGTTGTTGTGGTTGTGGTGTGGTTGTGGTTGTGCTAGGCCCAGGTTGTGGACGCTGTCTCGTTCCTGCTCGCCGCTCTCTCTGGACAGCTCCAGGTGGTGGTGGTGGTGGTTGTTGATGGTGGTGGTTGTTGATGGTGGTGGTTGTTGATGGTGGTGGTTGTTGTTGTTGATGGTGGTTGTGGTGATGGACCCACGTGATCACACGTGTTGGTGGTAGTGATGATGGTGGTTGTTGTTGTGGTTGTGGTGATGGTGTTGATGGTGGTGGTGGTTGATGGTGGTGGTGGTTGTTGTTGTTGTTGTGGTGGTTGTTGTGGTTGTGCTAGGCCCAGGTTGTGGACGCTGTCTCGTTCCCGCTCGCCGCTCTCTCTGGACAGCTCCAGGTGGTGGTGGTGGTGGTTGTTGTTGATGGTGGTTGTTGTGGTGGTTGTGGTGGTGGACCCACGTGATCACACGTGTTGGTGGTAGTGATGATGGTGGTTGTTGTTGTTGTGGTGATGGTGTTGATGGTTGTGGTTGTTGTTGTTGTGGTGGTGGTGGTTGTTGTTGTTGATGGTGGTTGTGGTGGTGGACCCACGTGATCACACGTGTTGGTGGTAGTGATGATGGTGGTAGTGATGGTGGTGGTTGTTGTTGTTGTTGCGGTTGTGGTGATGGTGTTGATGGTTGTTGTTGTTGTTGTGGTTGTGGTTGTGGTGGTTGTGCTAGGCCCAGGTGGTGGACGCTGTCTCGTTCCTGCTCGCCGCTCTCTCTGGACAGCTCCAGGTGGTGGTGGTGGTGGTTGTTGTGGTTGTGGTGATGGTGTTGATGGTTGTGGTGATGGTGGTGGTGGTTGTTGTTGTTGTTGTGGTGGTTGTGGTTGTGGTTGTGCTAGGCCCAGGTGGTGGATGCTGCCTCGTTCCTGCTCGCCGCTCTCTCTGGACAGCTCCAGGTGGTGGACTCCTTCCTGAGCCACGGGGGAGACCCCAACACGTGTGATCACGTGGGTCCACCACCACAACCACAACCACCACCACAACCACCACAACCACCACAACCACCACCACCACAACCACCACCACAACCACCACAACCACCACAACCACTACCACCACCACAACCAACAACAACAACCACCACAACAACAACCACCACAACCACCACAACCACCATCAACAACAACACGTGTGATCACGTGGGTCCACCACCACCACCATCAACAACCACCATCAACAGCCACAACCACCACAACCAACAACAACAACCACCACAACCACTACCACCACAACCACCACAACCACCATCACTACCACCAACACGTGTGATCACGTGGGTCCACCACCACCACAACCACCACAACCAACATCACTACCACCAACACCATAACAACCACCACATCCACCACAACAACCACCACAACCACCATCAACAACAACAACAACACCATCACTACCACCAACACCACAACCACCATCACTACCACCAACACGTGTGATCACGTGGGTCCACCAACAACACCACCACCATCACTACCACAATCACAACCACCACCACCACAACCACCCTCAACAACAACAACCAACACCACCACAACCACAACCACCAAAACCACCATCACTACCACCACAACCACCAGCACCACCAACACCACAACAAGCACCACAATCACCATCAACAACAACCACCATCAACAACCACTTGCCCCTACAGCCCAGCTGGAGGCTACCTGGGTGACCTTTGTATGTGTGACAGCACTTGCCCCTACATCCCAGCTGGAGGCTACCTGGGTGACCTTTGTATGTGTCTGTGTGACAGCACTTGCCCCTACATCCCAGCTGGAGGCTACCTGGGTGACCTTTGCCTGTGTCTATGTGACAGCACTTGCCCCTACATCCCAGCTTGAGGCTACCTGGGTGACCTTTGCCTGTGTCTATGTGACAGCACTTGCCCCTACATCCCAGCTGGAGGCTACCTGGGTGACCTTTGTATGTGTCTGTGTGACAGCAACTGCCCCTACATCCCAGCTGGAGGCTACCTGGGTGACCTTTGACTGTGTCTACTGTGACAGCACTTGCCCCTACAGCCCAGCTGGAGGCTACCTGGGCGACCTTTGCCTGTGTCTATGTGACAGCACTTGCCCCTACAGCCCAGCTGGAGGCTACCTGGGTGACCTTTGACTGGTCTATGTGACAGCACTTGCCCCTACAGCCCAGCTGGAGGCTACCTGGGCGACCTTTGCCTGTGTCTATGTGAAGCACTTGCCCCTACAGCCGAACAGGAGGCTACCTGGGCGACCTTTGCCTGTGTCTATGTGACAGCACTTGCCCCTACAGCCCAACAGGAGGCTACCTGGGCGACCTTTGCCTGTGTCTATGTGACAGCACTGCCCCTACAGCACAACAGGAGGCTACCTGGGCGACCTTTGACTGTGTCTATGTGACAGCACTTGCCCCTCTAAAGCCCAGCTGGAGGCTGCCTGGGTGACCTTTGCCTGTGTCTATGTGACAGCACTTGCCCCTACATCCCAGCTGGAGGATACCTGGGTGACGTTTGCCTGTGTCTATGTGACAGCACTTGCCCCTACAACCCAGCTGGGAAGCTACCTGGGTGACCTTTACCTGTGTCTATGTGACAGCACTTGCCCCTACAGCCCAGCTGGAGGCTACTGGGCCACCTTTGTCTGTCTGTGTAACAGCACTTGCCCCCTACAGCCCAGCTGGAGGCTACCTGGGCGACCTTTGCCTGTGTCTATGTGACAGCACTTGCCCCTACAGCCCAGCTGGAGGCTACCTGGGTGACCTTTGCCTGTGTCTATGTGACAGCACTTGCCCCTACAGCCCAGCTGGAGGCTACCTGGGTGACCTTTGCCTGTGTCTGTGTGACAGCACTTGCCCCTACAGCCCAACAGGAGGCTACCTGGTGACATTGTGCCTGTGTCTATGTGACAGCACTTGCCCCTACATCCCAGCTGGAGGCTACCTGGGTGACCTTTGCCTGTGTCTATGTGACAGCACTTGCCCCTACAGCCCAGCTGGAGGCTACCTGGGTAACCTTTCTATGTGTCTGTGTGACAGCACTTGCCCCTACAAGCCCAACAGAGGCTACCTGGGTGACCTTTGACTGTGTCTGTTGTGACAAGCACTTGCCCCTACAGCCCAAGCTGGAGGCTACCTGGGCCACCTTTGCCTGTGTCTATGTAACAGCACTTGCCCCTACATCCCAGCTGGAGGCTACCTGGGCGATCTGCACCTTTGTCTGTGTCTATGTGACAGCACTTGCCCCTACAGCCCAGCTGGAGGCTACCTGGGCCACCTTTGTCCTGTGTCTATGTGACAGCACTTGCCCCTACAGCCCAGCTGGAGGCTACCTGGGTGACCTGCACCTTTGTCTTTGTCTCCGTGACGCAGCTCCGTCGCACCGCGCTGCACCGCGCCAGCTCCGCCGGCCACGCCCACGTGGTGACGTCACGCTGGGAGCGGGGGCGGAGCTCGAGAAGAAGGATCTGGTGAGGGGGAGGGGCCGGGGTGAGGGGGCGTGGCTCGGGTGAGGGGGCCTGGGTGAGGGGGAGGGGTCAGGGTGAGAGGGATGGACATAGGGATGGGGAGGGGCATAGCTGATGGCCACGCCCACGTGGTCGGTCACTGCTGGGGGCGGAGCTCGAGAGGAACTGGTGTGAGGGAGGAGCCTGGGTGAGGGGGAGGGGCATACGTTAGGGGAGGGGCCCGGAGTGAGTGGGAGGGGGCCGGCGTGAGGGGCACACCCACTCACCCACCCACTCACCCACCCACTCACTTACTCACCCAGTTACTCATCCACCCACTCACCCACCCACTCACTCACCCACTTAACTCACCCAACCACTCACTCACCCACTCACTCACCCACTCACTCACTTACTCACCCAGTTACTCATCCACCCACTCACCCACCCACTCACTCACCCACTTACTCACCCACCCACTCACCCCACCCACTCACTCACCCACTCACTCACTCACACCACCCACTTACCCACTCAATCACCCACTTACTCACCCACTTACTCATCCACCCACTCACCCACCCACTCACTCACCCACTTACTCACCCACCCACTCACCCACCCACTTACTCACCCACGTACTCACCCACCCACTCACTTACCCACTCACCCACTCACACACCCCACTTACTCACCGACTTACTCACCCCACCCACTCACCCACCCACTCACTTACCCACTCACCCACGTCACCCACCCCACTTACTCACCCACTTACTCACCCCCTCACTCACTCACCCACCCACCCACTTACCCACTCACTCACTCACCCACTTACCCACTCACTCACCCACTTACTCACCCACTTACTCACCCACCCACTCACCCACTACTCACCCACCCACTCACCCACCCACTTACTCACCCACCCACCCACTTACTCACTCACTTACTCACCCACTTACTCACCCACTTACTCACCCACCCACTCATCCACCCACTTACTCACCCACTTACCCACTCACTCACTCACCCACTTACTCACCCACTTACTCACCCACCCACTCACTCACCCACTTACTCACTCACCACCCAATTACTCACCCACTTACTCACCCACCCACTCACCCACCCACCCACTCACCCACTCACTCACTCACCCACCCACCCACTTACCCACTCACTCACTCACCCACTTACCCACTCACTCACTCACCCACTTACTCACCCACTTACTCACCCACCCACTCACCCACTTACTCACCCACCCACTCACCACCCAACTTACTCACCCACCCACTTACTCACCCACTTACTCACCCACTTACTCACCCACCCACTCACCCACTTACTCACCCACCCACTCACCCACCCACTCACTCACAAACCCACTTACTCACCCACTCCCCCACCCACTTACTCACCCACCCACCCACTTACTCACCCACTTACTCACCCACTTACTCACCCACCCACTCACCCACTTACTCACCCACCCACTCACCCACCCACTCACTCACTAACCCACTTACTCACCCACTCCCCCACCCACTTACTCACCCACCCACGTACTCACCCACTTACTCACCCACTTACTCACCCACTCACTCACTCACCCACCCACTTACTCACCCACTTACACACCCACTTACTCACTCACTCACCCACCCACTTACTCACCCATTTACTCACACACTTACTCACCCACTTACTCACCGACTCACTCACCCACCCACTCACTCACCCACTCACTCACTTACTCACCCACTCACTCACCCACTCACTCACTCAACAACAACAACAACAACCGCCATTCGCCACTAAGTGGCGGTGACGTCACCACGACGCTTGTGCCAGGCTATGTGCACCCTGAGGCCACGTGAAGTGTCGAACGCCCTCTGGCAGGAGGTCACGGGGCAGACCCAGGTGCCACGGGTCGACTGACTGAGATGACTGGCTGATGCACCACCTGTGCCCCCTACTGTGCCAACCTACTGTGCTTTAGCCACCCGGCGCTCCGCTCGCTGTTGTGAGCGTCGCTCCTCCGCCCTCCGTTGTTGTTGGAGGGCGACTGCCTCAAACTGCCCAGTAGCATCCTTCACGAGCCTCCTCCACAGAGGCCGATCTTGACACCGCTGGTACCAGTCATCGGCAAGTACACTCAGCTCCACGTCCTCCTGTACCACATCACTCCATCTCCTCTCTAGCCCGTGCCGCGCCCGCCCAGCCCCCCCAGTCCGGCCAAACAAAAGCTGTCTCGGCATGCGGTGGCTGGGCATGCGGGCCACATGACCCAGCCATCGCAGCCTTGCCTGCCGGAGGAGCTCACCGATGGGACCCTGCCCAGATCTTTCAAGGATTTGTGAGCTCCTCACACAATCCAGTCTGGCCAAACCCAGGATGGATCGTAGGCAGGTCAGCCTAAATGTTTCTAACCGGCGAAGGATGTTCCATTAGGGGGGTCCACGTCTCGCAAGCGTAGAGAAGGGAGGGAATGACCGTGGCCGAGAAGACCTGAAGCTTAGTGCGGAGCGACAGACCAGGTAGCTTCCACACAGCGTTACGCAACCGATGAAAAGATCGACTGATTCGGAGTGAGACCTCTGCAGTTAAACTGGAGCCAGTCATAAGCACACTGCCCAGGTATGGGAAACTCTCCACTCTCTCCACAACTGCCCCATCACCGATTGGGAGTTGTGGGGGTGGAGTGTCCGATGGTACAAAATACCCAGGCAGGTGCTTAGTTTTGGTGGGGCTGATGGTAAGGCCCCACCTCTTAGTGGCACGCTCCAGTCTCAGCAGCAGCGTCTCCAACTCCTCCTCTGACTGAGCAGCTATTACCAAGTCATCAGCATACATAACGTGGTTGAGCAATAGGAGCCATCCCTTGACCGCACCCGGGCATCGATTAGCCTCCCATTATATCTGTACCATATGGAGATTCCCCCGGTACAGCTATTGAAGGCTTCACGAACTACGTGGTCAAAATAGATGTTAAATAATGTGGGAGCCAGAGGACATCCCTGTCGCACCCCAAGGTGTACAGGGAATGGCTCTGACTCCCAGCCACGTAGTTTTACCCGGGCCCGCTCACCATCATGAAGGTCCTTAATGATCGTGAGCAGAGGGTCAGGTACTCCAAAAGCACGAAGAACGACCCAGAGCCCAGGCCTACTGATGGTATCATAGGCCTTGACCAGGTCAATAAAGCAGAGATGTAGGTCTTGTTGGAATTCCCTACACCTCTGCTGTAGCAGACGGACAGAAAATATGGCATCTGTGCAGGACCGCCCTTTCCTGAAACCGCATTGGGGCTCCGCAAGCCTCTCCTCAGCGTGCCTGGCAAGGCGATGCTGAATAATCCTTGCCAGGACCTTTCCCGGCACACTGAGGAGTGAGATACCCCTGTAGTTGTTACAGTCTGTGCGGTCCCCCTTCTTAAAAAGGGGGACCACAAGGGCATCCTTCCAATCCTGCGGAACCCGTCCAGTGGTCCAGACTGTTGTTATGATGTCATATAGGGCAGTCTGTGCACAAACGCCACCCTCCCTCAGCATTTCGCTTGGGAGATCATCTCTGCCCGCTGCCTTTCCTGGTCTCAGACTCCGGATCGCCTTCAATACTTCCTCAGCAGATGGCACCTCAGCCAGCCACTCACAGGGGGTGACTTCATCCAATATTTGAGGCACCGCAGCCTCAGCAGGGTCATCCTCACTTTGTGCCACGATGTTTTCCTGGCTGAGGGATTTTCCCTCCCCCAGGACCTCACAGAAATGCTCAGCAAATCTGCGAACCTGTTCCTGGGGGTCAGAAATTGGATCACCGTTTTTTTCCCCTAATGATGGTAATAGGTGTGGCGCTGCAGGTTACTTTTTTGATGGAGTTAAATAGAGATTTGTGATCACGGGCCACTGAGGCAGACTCCATCTCCTCAGCAACCCGCGACCACCAACCCATCCTTGCAGCGCCTCACGGCTCTCCGAACCTCCGATCGAAGGCTGCGGTAAGCCTCCTCATTCTCTGACGTGGGATTCTGTAGCCGATGACAGTGGGCCTGTCGCTTTTTCTCAACCATCGTGAACAACTCCTCTGTCATCCAGGGTGTCTGGGGAGGTCTGGACCGCGTACCCAAAGCAGCCATTGCAGCTGCATGAGTCACAGTCCTAAACCTCGCCCATTTACCCTCGACATCAGGAGGAGTCGGGGACGATGCCAATCCCAGCCGCAAGCGATGATGAAATTCTCGCTTGCAACTTTCATCAGATAACTGAGACCAGGCCACTTTAGGTTGGAATGGGGTCCCTGGGTGTACACCCACCACCGGAGTGGAAGAATGGCAGGCGCATCTTACAGATGACTAGTCGATGGTCAGAGGGCAGATCAGCTCCACGGTAGGTCCTGGTGTCAAGGACATGGGCTCGCATTCGCTGGTCCGTCACTATGTAGTCCAGCAGATGTTCTTGCTTGGACCCGGCATGCATCCATGATGTTGTGTGGATGCGCCGATGCCGGAACAGCGTGTTGGTAATTACAAGCCCATGGGCTGCACAAAAATCTAGCAGCCTCCTACCGTTGTTATTGAGGTGATCTGGCCCATGCCCTCCAATCACTCCAGACCAGGTGCCAGTATCATGACCAACTCGGGCATTGAAGTCACCCAACATGATGACTCTATCCCGAGGGGCCACTTTAGCCAGCACCTGTGACAGGAGGCCATAGAAGGCATCTGACTCATCGGCTTTGCCTGCATCCCTCCACGGATGTTCATCTTCGGTGGGGGCATAAGTAACCACGACCACCATTCCTCGCCTCCGGTTGATGGGAATGCGAGCCCAAAGTAGCCTGGGGCTTACAGCTTCCCACACCTCACCGCCACGCTCCCACGCCCCCTTCATTCTTTTGTTCAAAAGAAGACCCACACCCTGTTGTTTGGCAGTCTGCTGCCCCGAGTAGAGGACTGTCCACCCCCCATGGTGGCAGGAGCCAGAGCCGGCCCACCGGACCTCCCGAATGCCGCATAGATCCAGGCGGCACCGGTCCAGTCCCCGACAGAGGAGCGGCAGCCTCTCCTTCTGCAGTGAGCGTTCGAACATTCCACGTGGCCAACCGTAGTGACTTTTCGTTGTTTCTGGAGTAGCCCCGAGGGTAGGTATTCAATCTCCTGGCTCCGCCAATTGGGGTTTGGCCAGGAGACGTCATAGACGCCTGGCCCCCCGGGGCCTCCGGCACAAGCTTAGTTGTTACATATATCATTTTAATTTGTAGTTTCGTGGTAATTAATTGAAGGTGGAGGGGTTACCAGCCCCTCGCACCCGTCCAGAGCCCCCGTTTAGCCCCTGTGGTGGACACATATGCCATGAGGGGAGGAGCCAATCAAAATTGGATCTCCCCCCACAGCACTGTCCACGACAGAGTTGCCCGTCCGGCACCGCGAGGAGGTAGGGGGTTGTTTTGCCAGACTCACTCACTCACTCACCCACTCACCCACTCACTCACCCACCCACTCACCCACTCACCCACTCACTCACTCACTCACCCACCCACCCACTCACTCCACTCACTCACCCACTCACCCACACACTCACTCACTCACCCACTCACTCACTTACTCACCCACTCACTCACTCACTCACCCACACACCCACTCACCCACACACCCACTCACTCACTCACTTACTCACCCACTCACTCACTCACTCACCCCACTCACCCACACACCCCACTCACACACTCACTCACACACCTACTCACCCACTCACTCACCACTCACCCACTCACTCACCCACTCACTCACTCACTCACCCACTCACTCACCCACTCACTCACTCACCCACTCACCCACTCACTCACACCACTCACTCACTCACTCACCCACTCACTCACTCACCCACTCACTCACTTACTCACCCACTCACTCACCCACTCACTCACATCCCTCAACCCACTCACTCACTCACCCACTCACTCACCCACTCCTCACTTACTCACCCCACTCACTCACTCACCCACACACCCACTCACCCACACACCCACTCACTCACTCACTTACTCACACCACTCACTCACTCACCCACTCACTCACCCACCCCTCACTTACTCACCCACTCACTCTCACTCACTCACTCACCCACTCACTCACTCACTCACCACCACTCACTTACTCACCCACTCACTCACCCACTCACTCACTTACTCACCCACTCACTACTCACCCACTCACTCACCCACTCACTCACTCACCCACTCACCCACTCACCCACTCACTCACCCACTCACTCACTCACTCACCCACTCACTCACTCACTTACTCACCCACTCACTCACCCACTCACTCACTCACCCACTCACCCACTCACTCACTCACTTACTCACTCACTCAGCCACTCACTCAGCCACTCACTCACCTCCATCCCCCATTCTCCCCACTCCACCCCCCACTCCACCCCCCTCCCCCCACCCCCCCCCCCACCACAGCTTGACAACACTGCGGCTCACTGGGCGTGCCGTGGTGGTCACGTGACCACCCTCAAGCTCCTCATCGACGCGGGAGCCAACATTGACGCACGTGACAAGGTGAGCATCAGGGCTAAGACGTCTCAAGACTAGTCTCACCCACTTACTCACCCACCCACTCACTCACCCACTTACTCACCCACCCACTCACCCAGCCACTCACCCACTCACTCACCCACCCACTCACCCACCCCCACACCCACCCACACACCCACCCCCTCACCCATCCACTCACCCACTTACTCACCCACCCACTCACCCACTTACTCACTCACCCACTCACCCACTTACTCACCCACTCACCCAGCCACTCACCCACCCACTCACCTACTTACTCACCCACTCACTCACCCACTCACCCACTCACTCACCCACTCACTCACTCACTTACTCACCCATCCACTCACCCACTTACTCACCCACTCACCCACTGACTCACCCACTCACTCAACCACTCACCCACTTACTCACTCACCCACTCACCCACTTACTCACCCACTCACCCAGCCACTCACCCACCCACTCACCTACTTACTCACCCACTCACTCACCCACTCACCCACTCACTCACCCACTCACTCACTCACTCACTTACTCACCCATCCACTCACCCACTTACTCACCCACTCACCCACTCACTCACCCACTCACTCACCCACTCACCCACTTACTCACCCACCCACTCACCCACTCACTCACCCACCCACTCACCCACCCACTCACCCACCCACTCACCCACTCACTCACCCACTCACTCACTCACTCACAAGGTGAGCATCACGGCAAGACGTCTTCAGATTAGCCTCAAGATGTCGTGAGACTAGTCTCAAGACGCGGGAGCCAACATTGACTTACTCACCCACTCACTCACCCACCCACTCACCCACTCACTCACCCACTCACCCACCCACTCACCCACTTACTCACCCACTCACTCACCCACCCACTCACCCACTTACTCACCCATCCACTCACCCGCTCACTCACTCACTTACCCAATTACTCACTCACTCACCCACTCACTCACCCACTTACCCACTCACTCACCCACCCACCCACTCACCCACTTACTCACCCATCCACTCACCCACTCACTCACTCACTCACAAGGTGAGCATCAGGGCAAGACGTCTTTAGATTAGCCTCAAGACGTCTTGGGTGAGTGAGTGAGTGAGTGGTGAGTCTTCAGACTAGTCTCAAGACGTGGGAGCCAACATTGACTTACTCACCCACCCACTCACCCACTCACTCACTCACCCACTCACCCACTCACTCACCCGCTCACTCACTCACTCACCCACTCCCTCACCCACCCACTCACCCACTACTCACCCATCCACTCACCCACTCACTCACTCACCCACTCACTCACCCACTCACTCACTAACTCACTCACCCACTCACTCACTCACTCACCCATCCACTCATTCACTCACTCACTCACAAGGTGAGCATCACGGCAAGACGTCTTTAGATTAGCCTCAAGACGTCTTGGGTGAGTGAGTGAGTGATTGGTGAGTCTTCAGACTAGTCTCAAGACGTGGGAGCCAACATTGACTTACTCACCCACCCACTCACCCACTCACTCACTCACCCACTCACCCACTCACTCACCCGCTCACTCACTCACTCACCCACTCCTCACCCACCCACTCACCCACTTACTCACCCATCCACTCACCCACTCACTCACTCACCCACTCACTCACCCACTCACTCACTACCTCACTCACCCACTCACTCACTCACCCCATCCACTCATTCACTCACTCACTCACAAGGTGAGCATCACGGCAAGACGTCTTCAGATCTATCGTGAGTCCAGCTAAGACGTCGTGAGACAAATCTCAAGGCGTCTTGAGATTTGTCTCGAGTTGAGAATTTGTCTCTAGGCGTCTTGAGATTTGTCTCGAGTTGAGATTTGTCTCGAGTTGAGATTTGTCTCGAGTCCGGTGACCTGGGAAACCTTCACCTTCTGTGTGTGACGTCACGCGCGTGACGTGTGCGCGTGACGTCACCAGCTGAGGTGCACGCCCCTCCACGTGGCCACGAAGACGGGGAACGTCGCGTGCCTGGAGCACGTGATCAGCTGGGGGGCTGACGTCAACGCTCGGGATCTGGTGAGTGAGTGGGTGAGTGGGTGGGTGGGTGAGTGGGTGAGTGAGTGGGTGAGTGAGTGAGTGGATGAGTGGGTGGGTGAGTGGGTGAGTGAGTGAGTGGGTGGGTTGGTGAGTGGGTAAGTGAGTGGGTGGGTGGGTGTGTGGGTGAGTGGGTGGGTGAGTGGGTGAGTGAGTGGGTGAGTGGGTGAATGAGTAAGTGGGTGGGTGGGTGAGTGGGTGGGTGAGTGAGTGAGTGGGTGGGTGAGTGAGTGAGTGGGTGGGTGAGTGGGTGAGTGGGTGGGTGAGTGGGTGAGTGAGTGGGTGAGTGGGTGAATGAGTAAGTGGGTGGGTGGGTGAGTGGGTGGGTGAGTGGGTGAGTGGGTGGGTGGGTGAGTGAGTGGGTGGGTGAATGGGTGGGTGAGTGAGTGGGTGAGTGGGTGAGTGAGTGGGTGGGTGGGTGGGTGAGTGAGTGGGTGGGTGGGTGGGTGTGTGGGTGAGTGAGTGGGTGAGTGGGTGTGTGGGTGAGTGGGTGAGTGAGTGGGTGAGTGAGTGAGTGAGTGGGTGAGTGAGTGGGTGGGTGAGTGAGTGGGTGAGTGGGTGAGTGAGTGGGTGAGTGGGTGGGTGAGTGCGTGGGTGAGTGGGTGGGTGGGTGAGTGGGTGAGTGAGTGGGTGAGTGAGTGAGTGGGTGAGTGAGTGGGTGAGTGGGTGAGTGAGTGGGTGGGTGAGTGAGTGAGTGGGTGAGTGGGTGAGTGAGTGAGTGGGTGGGTGAGTGAGTGAGTGGGTGAGTGAGTGAGTGAGTGGGTGAGTGAGTGGGTGGGTGAGTGAGTGGGTGGGTGAGTGAGTGGGTGAGTGGGTGAGTGAGTGAGTGGGTGGGTGGGTGAGTGAGTGGGTGAGTGGGTGGGTGGGTGAGTGGGTGAATGAGTGAGTGGGTGGGTGGGTGAGTGGGTGGGTGAGTGGGTGAGTGGGTGGGTAGGTGAGTGAGTGGGTGGGTGAATGGGTGGGTGAGTGAGTGGGTGAGTGAGGGGGTGAGTGGGTGGGTGGGTGAGTGGGTGGGTGAGTGGAAGAGTGGGTGGGTAGGTGAGTGGGTGGGTGAGTGAGTGGGTGGGTGGGTGGGTGAGTGAGTAGGTGAGTGAGTGGGTGAGTGAGGGAGTGGGTGAGTGAGTGGGTGGGTGGGTGAGTGAGTGAGTGGGTGGGTGGGTGGGTGAGTGACTGGGTGGGTTAGTGGGTGAGTGAGTGGGTGGGTGGGTGGGTGAGTGAGTGGGTGAGTGAGTGGGTGGGTGAGTGGGTGAGTGAGTGGGTGGGTGGGTGGTTGAGTGGGTGGGTGAGTGGGTGAGTGGGTGGGTGGGTGAGTGGGTGGGTGAGTGGGTGGGTGAGTGAGTTAGTGAGTGGGTGAGTAAGTGGGTGGGTGGGTGAGTGGGTGGGTGGGTGGGTGGGTGGGTGAGTGGGTGGGTGGGTGGGTGAGTGAGTGTGTGAGTGGGTGGGTGAGTGAGTGAGTGGGTGAGTGAGTGAGTGGGTGGGTGAGTGGGTGAGTGAGTGGGGTGGGTGAGTGAGTGGGTGGGTGAGTGAGTGGGTGGGTGAGTGGGTGGGTGAGTGGGTGAGTGGGTGGGTGAGTGGGTGGGTGAGTGGGTGGGTGAGTTGGTGGGTGAGTGAGTTAGTGAGTGGGTGAGTAAGTGGGTGGGTGGGTGAGTGGGTGGGTGAGTAAGTGAGTGGGTGGGTGGGTGAGTGGGTAGGTGGGTGAGTGGGTGGGTGGGTGAGTGGGTGGGTGAGTGGGTGGGTGAGGGAGTGGGTGGGTGGGTGGGTGTGCGAGTGAGTGAGTGGGTGAGTGGGTGTGTGGGTGAGTGAGTGGGTGAGTGGGTGGGTGGGTGAGTGGGTGAGTGGGTGAGTGTAGTGGTGAGTGTACTAGTGGTGAGTGTACTAGTGGGGAGTGTACTAGTGGTGAGTGTACTAGTGGTGAGTATAGTGGTGAGTGTACTAGTGGTGAGTGTGGTAGTGGTGAGTGTAGGAAGGAGACTAGGTGAGTGACTGAGTGACTGGGTGAGTGACTGAGTGAGTGAGTGACTGACTGAGTGAGTGAGTGTAGTGGTGAGTGTACTAGTGGTGAGTGTGGTGAGTGTAGTGGTGAGTATGGTGAGTGTGGTGGTGGTGAGTGTACTAGTGGTGAGTGGTGAGTGTGGTGAGTGTGTGGTGAGTGTAGGAAGGAGACTAGGTGAGTGAGTGAGTGGGTGAGTGAGTGAGTGAGTGGCTGAGTGTACTAGTGGTGAGTGTAGTGGTGAGTGTACTAGTGGTGAGTGTACTAGTGGTGAGTGTAGTGGTGAGTGTACTAGTGGTGAGTGTACTAGTGGTGAGTGTAGTGGTGAGTGTACTAGTGGTGAGTGTACTAGTGGTGAGTGTACTAGTGGTGAGTGTAGTGGTGAGTGTACTAGTGGTGAGTGTACTAGTGGTGAGTGTGCTAGTGGTGAGTGTACTAGTGGTGAGTGTACTAGTGGTGAGTGTAGTGGTGAGTGTACTAGTGGTGAGTGTGGTGGTGAGTGTGGTGAGTGTGGTGGTGGTGAGTGTAGGAAGGAGACTAGGTGAGTGTGTGAGTGAGTGTGTGACTGAGTGAGTGAGTGGGTGAGTGTAGTGGTGAGTGTACTAGTGGTGAGTGTGGTGGTGGTGAGTGTAGGAAGGAGACTAGGTGAGTGAGTGAGTGGGTGAGTGAGTGACTGAGTGTAGTGTTGAGTGTACTAGTGGTGAGTGTACTAGTGGTGAGTGTAGTGGTGAGTGTACTAGTGGTGAGTGTACTAGTGGTGAGTGTGGTGGTGAGTGTAGTGGTGAGTGTACTAGTGGTGAGTGTACTAGTGGTGAGTATGGTGAGTGTGTGGTGGTGAGTGTAGGAAGGAGACACCCCTCTTCACGATGCTCTGAGGGGAGGGCGACTTCGTGTGGCCAAGATTCTCATCCTGCATGGAGCCATCACCACGTGCAAGAACTGTGTAAGTTACTCACCAATCACTCACCACACACTCACCACTAGCACACTCACCACACACTCACCACTAGTACACTCACCACACACTCACCACACACTCACCACTAGCACACTCACCACTCACTCACCACTAGTACACTCACCACTCACCACACACTCACCACCAGTACACTCACCACTCACCACTCACTCACCACTAGTACACTCACCACTCACTCACCACACACTCACCACTAGCACACTCACCACACACTCACCACCACTACACTCACCACTCACTCACCACACAATCACCACTCACTCACCACACACTCACCACTAGTAGACTCACCACTCACTCACTCACCACTACACTCACCACCAGTACACTCACCACTCACCACTAGTACACTCACCACTCACTCACTCACTTACCACTAGTACACTCACCACTCACTCACCACACACTCACCACTAGTACACTCACCACTCACTCACTCACCACTCACTCACCACACACTCACCACTAGTACACTCACCACTCACTCACTCACTCACCACTCACTCACCACACACTCACCACACACTCACCACCACTACACTCACCACTCACTCACCACACACTCACCACTAGTACACTCACCACTAGTACACTCACCACTAGTACACTCACCACTCACTCACCACCAGTACACTCACTACTAGTACACTCACCACTAGTACACTCACCACTCACCACTACACTCACCACTAGTACACTCACCACTCACTCACCACCAGTACACTCACTACTAGTACACTCACCACTAGTACACTCACCACTCACCACTCACTCACCACTAGTACACTCACCACTCACTCACCACTAGTACACTCACCACTCACTCACCACTAGTACACTCACCACTCACTCACTCACTTACCACTAGTACACTCACCACTAGTACACTCACCACTCACCACTACACACTCACCACTCACTCACTCACCACCAGTACACTCACCACTCACCACACACTCACCACTAGTACACTCACCACTCACTCACCACTAGTACACTCACCACTCACCACAAACTCACCACTAGTACACTCACTACTAGTACACTCACCACTACACTCACTCACTCACCACTAGTACACTCACCACTAGTACACTCACCACTACACTCACCACTAGTACACTCACCACTCACTCACCACTAGTACACTCACCACTAGTACACTCACCACTCACCACACACTCACCACTAGTACACTCACCACTCACCACTAGTACACTCACCACTAGTACACTCACCACTCACCACACACTCACCACTAGTACACTCACCACTAGTACACTCACCACTCACTCACCACTAGTACACTCACCACTCATTCACTCACTTACCACTAGTACACTCACCACCACTACACACTCACCACTAGTACACTCACCACTAGTACACTCACCACTCACCACTAGTACACTCACCACTAGTACACTCACCACTACTACACTCACCACTAGTAGACTCACCCACTAGTACACTCACCACTAGTACACTCACCACTCACCACTAGTACACTTACTCACCACTACACTCACCACTACACTCACTCACCACTAGTACACTCACCACTAGTTCACTCACCACTAGTACACTCACCACTAGTACACTCACCACTAGTACACTCACCACTCACCACACACTCACCACTAGTACACTCACCACTAGTACACTCACCACTAGTACACTCACCACTAGTACACTCACCACCAGTACACTCACCACCAGTACACTCACCACTGCACTCACTCACCACTAGTACACTCACAACTAGTACACTCACTCACTCGTACACTCACTCACCACTAGTACACTCACCACTAGTACACTCACTCACCACTACACTCACCACTACACTCACTCACCACTAGTACACTCACCACTAGTACACTCACCACTAGTACACTCACCACTACACTCACCACTATTACACTCACCACTAGTACACTCACCACTATTATACTCACTAGTACACTCACCACACACTCACCACTAGTACACTCACCACTAGTACACTCACCACTCACTCACCACACACTAGTACACTCACCCACTAGTACACTCATCACTAGTACACTCACCACTAGTACACTCACCACTAGTACACTCACCACTCACCACACACTCACCACTAGTACACTCACCACTAGTACACTCACCACTAGTACACTCATCACTGCACTCACTCACCACTAGTACACTCACTCACCACTACACTCACTCACTAGTACACTCACCACTAGTACACTCACCACTAGTACACTCACCACTAGTACACTCACCACTGCACTCACTCACCACTAGTACACTCACTCACCACTACACTCACTCACTAGTACACTCACCACTAGTACACTCACTCACCACTACACTCACCACTACACTCACTCACCACTAGTACACTCACCACTAGTTCACTCACCACTAGTACACTCACCACTACACTCACCACTATTACACTCACCACTAGTACACTCACTCACCACTAGTACACTCACCACTAGTACACTCACCACTAGTACACTCACCACTCACCACTAGTACACTCACCACTAGTACACTCACTAGTACACTCACCAAACACTCACCACCAGTACACTCTCCACTACACTCACCACCAGTACACTCACCACTAGTACACTCACCACTAGTACACTCACCACTAGTACACTCACCACTACACTCACCACTAGTACACTCACCACTAGTACACTCACTCACCACTAGTACACTCACCACTACACTCACTCACTAGTACACTCACCACTAGTACACTTACTCACCACTAGTACACTCAATACTAGTACACTCACTCACCACTAGTACACTCACCACTAGTACACTCACCACGAGTACACTCACCACTAGTACACTCACCACTAGTACACTCACCACTAGTACACTCACTCACCACTAGTACACTCACCACTAGTACACTCACCACTACACTCACCACACACTAGTACACTCACCACTAGTACACTCACCACTAGTACACTCACCAGTAGTACACTCACTCACCACTAGTACACTCACCACTCACTCACCACACTCACCACTAGTACACTCACCACTACACTCACCACTACACTCACCACTAGTACACTCACCACTAGTACATTCACCACTAGTACACTCACCACTAGTACACTCACCACTACACTCACCACTACAATCACAACTCACCACACACTCACCACTAGTACACTCACCACTAGTACACTCACCACTACACTCACCACTACACTCACCACTAGTACACTCACTCACCACCACTACACTAACCACTACACTCACCACTAGTACACTCACCACTCACTCACCACTAGTACACTCACCACTAGTACACTCACCACTAGTACACTCACCACGAGTACACTCACCACTAGTACACTCACCACTAGTACACTCACTCACCACTAGTACACTCACCACTAGTACACTCACCACTACACTCACCACACACTAGTACACTCACCATTAGTACACTCACCACTAGTACACTCACCACTAGTACACTCACCACTAGTACACTCACTCACCACTAGTACACTCACTCACTCACCACTAGTACACTCACCACTAGTACACTCACCACTACACTCACTCACTAGTACACTCACCACTAGTACACTTACTCACCACTAGTACACTCAATACTAGTACACTCACTCACCACTAGTACACTCACCACTAGTACACTCACCACGAATACACTCACCACTAGTACACTCACCACTAGTACACTCACCACTAGTACACTCACTCACCACTAGTACACTCACCACTAGTACACTCACCACTACACTCACCACACACTAGTACACTCACCACTAGTACACTCACCACTAGTACACTCACCACTAGTACACTCACTCACCACTAGTACACTCACCACTCACTCACCACACTCACCACTAGTACACTCACCACTACACTCACCACTACACTCACCACTAGTACACTCACCACTAGTACACTCACCACTAGTACACTCACCACTACACTCACCACTACAATCACAACTCACCACACACTCACCACTAGTACACTCACCACTAGTACACTCACCACTACACTCACCACTACACTCACCACTAGTACACTCACTCACCACCACTACACTAACCACTACACTCACCACTAGTACACTCACCACTCACTCACCACTAGTACACTCACCACTAGTACACTCACCACTAGTACACTCACCACGAGTACACTCACCACTAGTACACTCACCACTAGTACACTCACTCACCACTAGTACACTCACCACTAGTACACTCACCACTACACTCACCACACACTAGTACACTCACCACTAGTACACTCACCACTAGTACACTCACCACTAGTACACTCACTCACCACTAGTACACTCACTCACTCACCACTAGTACACTCACCACTAGTACACTAACCACTAAACTCACCACTAGTACACTCACCACTAGTACACTCACCACTAGTACACTCACCACTAGTACACTCACTACCAGTAGACTCACCACTAGTACACTCACCACTCACTCACCACACTCACCACTAGTACACTCACCACTACACTCACCACTAGTACACTCACCACTAGTACACTCACCACTAGTACACTCACCACCAGTACACTCACCACTAGTACACTAACCACTAGTACACTCACCACTAGTACACTCACCACTAGTACACTCACTCACCACTAGTACACTCACCACTAGTACACTCACTCACTAGTACACTCACCACTAGTACACTCACCACTAGTACACTCACCACTAGTACACTCACTCACCACTAGTACACTCACCACTACACTCACTCACTAGTACACTCACCACTAGTACACTCACTCACCACTAGTACACTCACCACTAGTACACTCACCACGAGTACACTCACCACTAGTACACTCACCACTGGTACACTCACCACTAGTACACTCACCACTAGTACACTCACCACTACACTCACTACTACACTCACCACTAGTACACTCACCACTACACTCACCACACACTAGTACACTCACCACTAGTACACTCACCACTAGTACACTCACCACTAGTACACTCACTCACCACTAGTACACTCACCACTCACTCACCACACTCACCACTAGTACACTCACCACTACACTCACCACTACACTCAACACAAGTACACTCACCACTAGTACACTCACCACTAGTACACTCACCACCACTACACTCACCACTAGTACACTCACCACTAGTACACTCACCACTACACTCACCACTACAATCTTCACTCACCACACACTCACCACTAGTACACTCACCACTAGTACACTCACTCACCACTACACTCACCACTACACTCACTCACCACTAGTACACTCACCACTAGTACACTCACCACTAGTACACTCACTCACCACTAGTACACTCACCACTACACTCACTCACTCACCACTAGTACACTCACCACTCACTTACCACTAGTACACTCACCACTAGTACACTCACCACTAGTACACTCACCACTGCACTCACTCACCACTAGTACACTCACCACTAGTACACTCACTCACCACTACACTCACTCACCACTAGTACACTCACCACTAGTACACTCACCACTAGTACACTCACCACTCACCACTAGTACACTCACCACTAGTACACTCACCACTAGTACACTCACCACTAGTACACTCACCACTACACTCACTCACTCACCACTAGTACACTCACCACTCACTCACCACTAGTACACTCACCACTAGTACACTCACCACTAGTACACTCACCACTACACTCACCACTAGTGGTGAGTGTAGTGGTGAGTGTACTAGTGGTGAGTGTAGTGGTGAGTGTAGTGGTGAGTGTACTAGTGGTGAGTGAGTGAGTGTAGTGGTGAGTGTACTAGTGGTGAGTGTACTGGTGAGTGTACTAGTGGTGAGTGTACTAGTGGTGAGTGTACTAGTGGTGAGTGTTCTAGTGGTGAGTGTAGTGGTGAGTGTACTAGTGGTGAGTGTACTAGTGGTGAGTGTACTAGTGGTGAGTGTAGTGGTGAGTGTACTAGTGGTGAGTGTACTAGTGGTGAGTGTAGTGGTGAGTGTACTTGTGGTGAGTGTAGTGGTGAGTGTACTAGTGGTGAGTGTACTAGTGGTGAGTGTAGTGGTGAGTGTACTAGTGGTGAGTGTACTAGTGGTGAGTGTACTAGTTGTGAGTGTAGTGGTGAGTGTTCTAGTGGTGAGTGTAGTGGTGAGTGTACTAGTGGTGAGTGTAGTGGTGAGTGTACTAGTGGTGAGTGTACTAGTGGTGAGTGTAGTGGTGAGTGTACTAGTGGTGAGTGTACTAGTGGTGAGTGTAGTGGTGAGTGTACTAGTGATGAGTGTACTAGTGGTGAGTGTAGTAGTGGTGAGTGTAGTGGTGAGTGTACTAGTGGTGAGTGTACTAGTGAGTGTACTAGTGGTGAGTGTACTAGTGGTGAGTGTACTAGTGGTGAGTGTAGTGGTGAGTGTACTAGTGGTGAGTGTAGTGGTGAGTGTACTAGTGGTGAGTGTAGTGGTGAGTGTACTAGTGGTGGGTGTACTAGTGGTGAGTGTACTAGTGGTGAGTGTAGTGGTGAGTGTACTAGTGGTGAGTGTACTAGTGGTGAGTGTAGTGTTGAGTGTACTAGTGAGTGTAGTGGTGAGTGTACTAGTGGTGAGTGTACTAGTGGTGAGTGTAGTGGTGAGTGTACTAGTGGTGAGTGTACTAGTGAGTGTAGTGGTGAGTGTAGTGGTGAGTGTACTAGTGGTGAGTGTACTAGTGAGTGTGTGGTGAGTGTACTAGTGGGTGAGTGTACTAGTGGTGAGTGTACTAGTGGTGAGTGTACTATTGTGTGCAGTGGTGAGTGTAGTGGTGAGTGTACTAGTGGTGAGTGTACTAGTGGTGAGTGTAGTGGTGAGTGTAGTGGTGAGTGTACTAGTGGTGAGTGTACTAGTGGTGAGTATAGTGGTGAGTGTACTAGTGGTGAGTGTACTAGTGAGTGAGTGTACTAGTGGTGAGTGTACTAGTGGTGAGTGTACTAGTGTTGACTGTAGTGGTGAGTGTACTAGTGTTGACTGTAGTGGTGAGTGTACTAGTGGTGAGTGTACTAGTGGTGAGTGTACTAGTGGTGAGTGTACTAGTGGTGAGTGTAGTGGTGAGTGTACTAGTGGTGAGTGTACTAGTGGTGAGTGTAGTGGTGAGTGTACTAGTGGTGAGTGTACTAGTGGTGAGTGTACTAGTGGTGAGTGTAGTGGTGAGTGTACTAGTGGTGAGTGTACTAGTGGTGAGTGTACTAGTGGTGAGTGTACTAGTGGTGAGTGTAGTGGTGAGTGTACTAGTGGTGAGTGTACTAGTGGTGAGTGTAGTGGTGAGTGTACTAGTGGTGAGTGTACTAGTGGTGAGTGTAGTGGTGAGTGTACTAGTGGTGAGTGTACTAGTGGTGAGTGTAGTGGTGAGTGTACTAGTGGTGAGTGTACTAGTTGTGAGTGTACTAGTGGTGAGTGTACTAGTGGTGAGTGTACTAGTGGTGAGTGAGTGAGTGTACTAGTGGTGAGTGTACTAGTGGTGAGTGTGAGTGGTGAGTGTACTAGTGGTGAGTGTACTAGTGGTGAGTGTACTAGTGGTGAGTTTGGTGGTGAGTGTAGTGGTGAGTGTACTAGTGGTGAGTGTACTAGTGGTGAGTGTACTAGTGGTGAGTGTACTAGTGGTGAGTGTACTAGTGGTGAGTGTACTGGTGGTGAGTGTACTAGTGGTGAGTGTACTAGTGGTGAGTGTACTAGTGGTGAGTGTAGTGGTGAGTGTACTAGTGGTGAGTGTAGTGGTGAGTGTACTAGTGGTGAGTGTACTAGTGGTGAGTGTACTAGTGGTGAGTGTAGTGGTGAGTGTACTAGTGGTGAGTGTACTAGTGGTGAGTGTAGTGGTGAGTGAATGTAGTGGTGAGTGTAGTGGTGAGTGTACTAGTGGTGAGTGTACTAGTGGTGAGTGTAGTGGTGAGTGTAGTGGTGAGTGTACTAGTGGTGAGTGTAGTTGGTGAGTGTAGTGGTGAGTGTACTAGTGGTGAGTGTAGTGGTGAGTGTAGTGGTGAGTGTACTAGTGGTGAGTGTACTAGTGGTGAGTGTAGTGGTGAGTGTACTAGTGGTGAGTGTAGTGGTGAGTGTACTAGTGGTGAGTGTACTAGTGGTGAGTGTACTAGTGGTGAGTTTGGTGGTGAGTGTAGTGGTGAGTGTACTAGTGGTGAGTGTACTAGTGGTGAGTGTAGTGGTGAGTGTACTAGTGGTGAGTGTACTAGTGGTGAGTGAGTGTACTAGTGGTGAGTGTACTAGTGGTGAGTGTACTAGTGGTGAGTGTAGTGGTGAGTGTACTAGTGGTGAGTGTACTAGTGGTGAGTGTAGTGGTGAGTGTACTAGTGGTGAGTGTAGTGGTGAGTGTACTAGTGGTGAGTGTAGTAGTGAGTGTAGTGGTGAGTGTACTAGTGGTGAGTGTACTAGTGGTGAGTGTACTAGTGGTGAGTGTACTAGTGGTGAGTGTACTAGTGGTGAGTGTACTAGTGGTGAGTGTACTAGTGGTGAGTGTACTAGTGGTGAGTGTAGTGGTGAGTGTACTAGTGGTGAGTGTACTAGTGGTGAGTGTACTAGTGGTGAGTGTACTAGTGGTGAGTGTACTAGTGGTGAGTGTACTAGTGGTGAGTGTACTAGTGGTGAGTGTACTAGTGGTGAGTGTAGTGGTGAGTGTACTAGTGGTGAGTGAGTGTACTAGTGGTGAGTGTACTAGTGGTGAGTGTACTAGTGGTGAGTGTACTAGTGGTGAGTGTACTAGTGGTGAGTGTACTAGTGGTGAGTGTACTAGTGGTGAGTGTACTAGTGGTGAGTGCTGTTCTGCAGGATGGTAAAACCGCTGTTGAGCTTCTCACCAAGTGGCAGACTGACAGGAAGATGGAATTACTCACCAACCTCACCACCTCAAGATAGCAGCCTCCTCACCACCACGCTCACCACTCACCTACTCACCACTCACCTACTCACTCACCTACTCACTCACTCACCACTCACCTACTCACCACTCACCTACTCACTCACCACTCACCTACTCACTCACCACGCACCTACTCACTCACTCACCTACTCACTCACTCACCTACTCACTCACCACTCACCTACTTACTCCATCACCTACCCACTCACTCACCTACTCACTCACTCACCGACTCACTCACTCACTCACCGACTCACTCACCTACTCACCTACTTACTCACTCACCTACTCACTCACTCACCTACTCACTCACCTACTCACTCACCTACTCACTCACTCACCTACTCACTCACTCACCTACTCACCTACTTACTCACTCACCTACTCACTCACTCACCTACTCACTCACCTACTCACTCACCTACTCACTCACTCACCGACTCACTCACCTACTCACTCACCACTCACCACTCACCTACTCACTCACCTTCTCACTCACTCACCTACTCACTCACCTACTCACCCACTCATCACTCACCTACTCACCACTCACCTACTCACTCACCTACTCACTCACCACTCGCTCACCTACTCACTCACAACTCACCACTCACCTACTCACTCACCTACTCACTCACCACTCACCTACTCACTCACCACTCACCTACTCACCACTCCTACTCACTCACCTACTCACTCACCACTCACCTGCTCACCACTCACCTACTCACTCACCACTCTCCACTCACCTACTCACTCACCTACTCACCACTCACCACTCACCTACTCGCCACGTTGAGCAGGTGAGCGGGTGGGTGAGTTGGTGGGTGGGTAGGTGGGTGGGTGAGCAGGTGAGTTGCTGGGTGGGTAGGTGGGTGAGTGAGTGAGTGGGTGAGTGGGTGAGTAGGTGAGCGGTTGAGTAGGTGGGTGGGTGAGTAGGTGGCTGGGTGAGTAGGTGAGTGGGTGAGTAGGTGAGTGTGTGTGTAGGTGAGTGGGTGAGTAGGTGAGTGGGTGAGTAGGTGGGTGAGCAGGTGGATGGATCTGTAGATGAGCGGGTGAATAGGTGAGTCAGTGAGTAGGTGAGTGGGTGGGTGAGTAGGTGAGTGGGTGAGTGGGTGGGTGGGTGAGTAGGTGAGTGGGTGAGTAGGTGGATAGATGAGTAGGTGGATAGGTGAGTAGGTGAGCAGGTGAGTAGGTGGGTGAGTGAGTAGGTGAGTGGGTGGGTGGGTGAGTAGGTGAGTGGGTGAGTGGGTGGGTGGGTGAGTAGGTGGGTGGGTGGGTGAGTAGGTGAGTAGGTGGATAGGTGAGTAGGTGAGTGAGTGAGTAGGTGAGTGGGTGGGTGGGTGGGTGAGTAGGTGAGTAGGTGAGTAGGTGGATAGGTGAGTAGGTGAGCGGGTGAGTAGGTGGGTGGGTGAGTAGGTGAGTGGGTGAGTAGGTGGGTGATTAGGTGAGCGGGTGAGTAGGTGAGTAGGTGAGTGAGTAGGTGGGTGAGTAGGTGAGTAGGTGGGTGAGTAGGTGAGCGGGTGAGTAGGTGAGCGGGTGAGTAGGTGAGTGGGTGAGTAGGTGAGTGAGTAGGTGAGTAGCGTCATTGGACGGTTATGCTAATAGCCTTGATGGACGATATGCAAATGAGCTGCTCGGTGATTGGTCGCCTCTGTAATGCTCTGCTAATTTATCCCCGGAATATGCTAATTTTTCCCGGCCAATGAGGAGCGCGGGCGGGTAGGGGGGGGGTGGTGCCCTGTTAATGAGATGTAAACGAGATGCAAATGAGATGCAAATGAGATGCAGATGAGATATGATAATGAGGGTGTTCTCTAGCGAATGACGATTTATGAGCCTCTACCAATACACAAAGTTACACAAGGTACGCGAATCAACATGCCAACGACATGCCCACGTTCATCGCAGGTTAATGACATGCTAATGATATGTTAAGCGCATGGTAATGTAATGTTAATCGCGCGACAACTTTATGCTCACGATATGTTAATCGTCAATGTAATGATATGCTAATGATATGTTAATCGTATGATAAAGATATGTTAATGTTATTTGCTGGTCGGGACTGCCGTGGTGTTTGAAGTTAATTTATTAGTAATTTATGATAATTTATGATAATTTATGCAACGGATTATCATCTGGCCCGCACTCACTGCTCATGATGTGGGTGATGTTGCTGATGATGATAGGGTAATAAAATCACTGATGATGATAGGGTAATAAAATCACTGATGATGATAGGGTAATAAAATCACTGATGACAAGGTAATAAAATCACTGATGATGATAGGGTAATAAAATCACTGATGATGATAGGGTAATAAAATCACTGATGATAAGGTAATAAAATCACTGATGATGATAGGGTAATAAAATCACTGCTGATGATGATGATGATAGGGTAATAAAATCGCTGATGATGATAGGGTAATAAAATCACTGATGATGATAGGGTAATAAATTCACTGATGGTAAGGTAATAAAATCACTGATGATAGGGTAATAAAATCACTGCTGATGATGTTGATGATAGGGTAATAAAATCACTGATTATGATAGGGTAATAAAATCGCTGATGATAAGGTAATAAAATCACTGATGATGATAGGGTAAATAAATCACTGCTGATGATGATGTTGATGATAGGGTAATAAAATCACTGCTGATGATAGGGTAATAAAATCACTGATGATAAGGTAATAAAATCACTGATGATGATAGGGTAATAAAATCACTGCTGATGATGATGATAGGGTAATAAAATCGCTGATGATGATAGGGTAATAAAATCACTGATGATGATAGGGTAATAAAATCACTGATGATAGGGTAATAAAATCACTGATGATGATAGGGTAATAAAATCACTGATGATAAGGTAATAAAATCACTGATGATAGGGTAATAAAATCACTGATGATGATGTTGATGATAGGGTAATAAAATCACTGATGATGATAGGGTAATAAAATCGCTGATGATAAGGTAATAAAATCACTGATGATGATAGGGTAATAAAATCACTGATGATGATGTTGATGATAGGGTAATAAAATCACTGCTGATGATGTTGGTGATGTTGCTGATGATGATAGGGTAATAAAATCATTGATGGTGATGATAGGGTAATAAAATCACTGATGATAGGATAATAAAATCACTGATGATAGGGTAATAAAATCACTGATGATGATAGGGTAATAAAATCACTGATGATAAGGTAATAAAATCACTGATGATAGGGTAATAAAATCACTGCTGATGATGTTGATGATAGGGTAATAAAATCACTGATGATAGGGTAATAAAATCGCTGATGATAAGGTAATAAAATCACTGATGATGATGTTGATGATAGGGTAATAAATTCACTGCTGATTATGTTGGTGATGTTGCTGATGATGATAGGGTAATAAAATCACTGATGATGATAGGGTAATAAAATCCCTGCTGATGACGTTGATGATAGGGTAATAAAATCACTGCTGATGATGTGGGTGATGTTGCTGATGATGATAGGGTAATAAAATCACTGATGATGATAGGGTAATAAAGTAACTGATGATGACGTTGATGATAGGGTAATAAAATCATTGCTGATGATGTTGGTGATGTTGCTGATGATGATAGGGTAATAAAATCACTGATGATGATGTTGGTGATGTTGCTGATGATGTTGATGATAGGGTAATAAAATCACTGATGATGATTTTGATGGAATGGTAATTATACACCACCACCATCACCACCACCATCACCACCATCACCACCACCATCACCACCACCATCACGACCATCATCACCACCACCATCAACACCACCATCAACACCACCATCAACACCACCATCAACACCATCACCACCATCATCACAACGATCACCACCACCAGCACCACCACCACCATCACCACCACCATCATCACCACGATCACCACCACCATCACCACCACCATCACCACCACCATCACCACCATCACCACCATCACCACCACCATCACCACCACCACCACCATCACCACCACCATTACCACCACCATCACCACCACCACCATCACCACCATCACCACCACCATCACCACCACCATCACCACCATCACCACCACCATCACCACCACCATCACCACCACCATCACCACCACCATCACCACCATCACCACCACCATCACCACCACCATCACCACCACCATCACCACCACCATCATCACCACGATCACCACCACCATCACCACCACCATCACCACCACCATCACCACCATCACCACCATCACCACCACCATCACCACCACCACCACCACCATCACCACCACCATTACCACCACCATCACCACCACCACCATCACCACCATCACCACCACCATCACCACCACCATCACCACCATCACCACCACCATCACCACCACCATCACCACCACCATCACCATCACCACCACCACCATCACCACCACCATCACCACCATCACCACCACCATCACCACCATCACCACCACCATCACCACCATCATCACCACCACCACCTACACCCTCCCCTCTCACACAACCCTCACCTCTATCGCCCTCTGCTGGCAACTCCCACCATCACCACCACCACCAACACCACCACCACAACTAACACTAACACAACAACTACCACCACCAACACCACAACAACTAACACCACCATCACCACCATCATCACCACGATCACCACCACCATCATCACCATCACCACCATCATCACCATCACCACCATCATCACCACCATCATCACCACGATCACCACCACCATCACCACCACCGTCACCACCACCATCACCACCATCACCACCACCATCACCACCACCATCATCACCATCACCACCATCATCACCACCATCATCACCACGATCACCACCACCATCACCACCACCGTCACCACCACCATCACCACCATCACCACTACCATCACCACCACCATTACCACCACCATCACCACCATCACCACCACCACCACAACTAACACTAACACAACAACTACCACCACCACCATCACCACTATCACCATCATCACCATCACCACCATCACCACCACCATCATCACCACCACCACCTACACCCTCCCCTCTCACACAACCCTCACCTCTATCGCCCTCTGCTGGCAACTCCCACCAACACCACCACCATCACAACTAACAACACCACCATCACCACCACAACTACCACCACCACCATCACCACCGCCGCCATCACCATCACCACCATCACCACAACTAACACTAACACAACAACTACCACCACCACCATCACCACCACCATCACCACCACCACCAGCACCTACAGTCCTACACCCTCCCCTCTCACACAACCCTCTCCTCTATCGCCCTCTGCTGGCAACTCCCACCAACACCACCCTCACCATCACCACAACTACCACCACCATCACCACCACAACTACCACCACAACTACCACCACCATCACAACTAACACCATCACCACCACCACCAACACCACCACCACAACTAACACTAACACAACTACCACCACCACCATCACCACCACAACTACCACCACCATCAACAACAACCGCCATTCGCCACTAAGTGGCGGTGACGTCACCACGACGCTTGTGCCAGGCTATGTGCACCCTGAGGCCACGTGAAGTGTCGAACGCCCGCTGGCAGGAGGTCACGGGGCAGACCCAGGTGCCACGGGTCGACTGACTGAGATGACTGGCTGATGCACCACCTGTGCCCCCTACTGTGCCAACCTGCTGTGCTTTAGCCACCCGGCGCTCCGCTCGCTGTTGTGAGCGTCGCTCCTCCGCCCTCCGTTGTTGTTGGAGGGCGACTGCCTCCAACTGCCCAGTAGCATCCTTCACGAGCCTCCTCCACAGAGGCCGATCTTGACACCGCTGGTACCAGTCATCGGCAAGTCCACTCAGCTCCACGTCCTCCTGTACCACATCACTCCATCTCTTCTCTAGCCCGTGCCGCGCCCGCTTAGCCCCCTCAATCCGGCCAAACAAAAGCTGTTTCGGCATGCGGTGGCTGGGCATGCGGGCTACATGACCCAGCCATCGCAGCCTTGCCTGCCGGAGGAGCTCACCGATGGGACCCTGCTCAGATCTTTCAAGGATTTGTGAGCTCCTCACACAATCCAGTCTGGTTAAACCCAGGATGGATCGTAGGCAGGCCAGCCTAAATGTTTCTAACCGGCGAAGATGTTCCATTAGGGGGGTCCACGTTTCGCAAGCGTAGAGAAGGGAGGGAATGACCGTGGCCGAGAAGACCTGAAGCTTAGTGCGGAGCGACAGACCAGGTAGCTTCCACACAGCGTTACGCAACCGATGAAAAGATATTGCCGCTCGACTGATTCGGAGTGAGACCTCTGCTGTTAAACTGGAGCCAGTCATAAGCACACTGCCCAGGTATGGGAAACTCTCCACTCTCTCCACAACTGCCCCATCACCGATTGGGAGTTGTGGGGGTGGAGTGTCCGATGGTACAAAATACCCAGGCAGGTGCTTAGTTTTGGTGGGGCTGATGGTAAGGCCCCACCTCTTAGTGGCATGCTCCAGTCTCAGCAGCAGCGTCTCCAACTCCTCCTCTGACTGAGCAGCTATTACCAAATCATCAGCATACATAACGTGGTTGAGCAATAGGGAGCCATCCCTTGACCGCACCCGGGCATCGATTAGCCTCCCATTATATCTGTACCATATGGAGATTCCCCCGGTACAGCTATTGAAGGCTTCACGAACTACGTGGTCAAAATAGATGTTAAATAATGTGGGAGCCAGAGGACATCCCTGTCGCACCCCAAGGTGTACAGGGAATGGCTCTGACTCCCGGCCACGTAGTTTTACCCGGGCCCGCTCACCATCATGAAGGTCCTTAATGATCGTGAGCAGAGGGTCAGGTACTCCAAAAGCACGAAGAACGACCCAGAGCCCAGGCCTACTGATGGTATCATAGGCCTTGACCAGGTCAATAAAGCAGAGATGTAGGTCTTGTTGGAATTCCCTACACCTCTGCTGTAGCAGACGGACAGAAAATATGGCATCTGTGCAGGACCGCCCTTTCCTGAAACCGCATTGGGGCTCCGCAAGCCTCTCCTCAGCGTGCCTGGCAAGGCGATGCTGAATAATCCTTGCCAGGACCTTTCCTGGCACACTGAGGAGTGAGATGCCCCTGTAGTTGTTACAGTCTGTGCGGTCCCCCTTCTTAAAAAGGGGGACCACCAGGGCATCCTTCCAATCCTGCGGAACCCGTCCAGTGGTCCAGACTGTTGTTATGATGTCATATAGGGCAGTCTGTGCACAAACGCCACCCTCCCTCAGCATTTCGCTTGGGAGATCATCTCTGCCCGCTGCCTTTCCTGGTCTCAGACTCCGGATCGCCTTCAATACTTCCTCAGCAGATGGCACCTCAGCCAGCCACTCACAGGGGGTGACTTCATCCAATATTTGAGGCACCGCAGCCTCAGCAGGGTCATCCTCACTTTGTGCCACGATGTTTTCCTGGCTGAGGGATTTTCCCTCCCCCAGGACCTCACAAAAATGCTCAGCAAATCTGCGAACCTGTTCCTGGGGGTCGGAAATTGGATCACCGTTTTTCCCCCTAATGATGGTAATAGGTGTGGCGCTGCAGGTTACTTTTTTGATGGAGTTAAATAGAGATTTGTAATCACGGGCCACTGAGGCAGACTCCATCTCCTCAGCAACCCGCGACCACCACCCATCCTTGCAGCGCCTCACGGCTCTCCGAACCTCCGAGCGAAGGCTGCGGTAAGCCTCCTCATTCTCTGACGTGGGATTCTGTAGCCGATGGCAGTGGGCCTGTCGCTTTTTCTCAACCATCGTGAACAACTCCTCTGTCATCCAGGGTGTCTGGGGAGGTCTGGACCGCGTACCCAAAGCAGCCATTGCAGCTGCATGAGTCACAGTCCTAAACCTCGCCCATTTACCCTCGACATCAGGAGGAGTCGGGGACGATGCCAATCCCAGCCGCAAGCGATGATGAAATTCTCGCTTGCAACTTTCATCAGATAACTGAGACCAGGCCACTTTAGGTTGGAATGGGGTCCTGGGTGTACACCCACCATCACCACCACCATCACCACCATCACCAGCACCAACACCACCATCATCACCACCATCACCACCATCACCACAACTAACACCACCATCACCACCATCACCACCATCACCACCACCATCACCACCACCATCACCACCATCACCACCATCACCACCATCACAACTAACACCACCATCACCACCACCAACACCACCACCACAACTAACACTAACACAACTACCACCACCATCACCACCACAACTACCACCAACACCACCACCATCACCACCACAACTACCACCAACACCACCACCATCACCACCACAACTACCATCACCACCACCAACACCACCACCACAACTAACACTAACACAACAACTACCACCACCATCACCACCATCACCACCACCATCATCATCACCACCATCACCACCACCACAACTATCACCACCACCATCACCACCATCACCATCATCACCACCACCACCACCATCACCACCATCACCACCACCACACTATCACCACCACCATCACCACCACCATCATCACCACCATCACCACCATCACCACCACCACAACTATCACCACCACCATCACCACCACCATCACCACCACCACCAGCACCTACAGTCCTACACCCTCCCCTCTCACACAACCCTCTCCTCTATCGCCCTCTGCTGGCAACTCCCACCAACACCACCACCATCACCACAACTACCACCATCACCACCACCACAACTACCACCACCACCATCACCCCCTCCCCAATCTCCCTCCACGATGTCGAAGCGACACCGGGTTGACATCGGGGACGACTACGCCGCCAACAAAAAGCGTCACGACCGGTGAGTTTGACGTTAAAGGGCGAACAAGACGATAATTAAGACGAGTGAGTGAGTGAGATAATTTAAAACGTTAAAATTTTTAACAGCTCTTGTGCGGGATTTTCACCACGATGGCTGTGGCAACCCGCTAACGTTTATTAATTTAAAAAAAAACAACTTAGCACGTTTAAACACCGCCGCCGCGATGATTTAATACTGACAGCAAAGCAGTAGTTGTTGTTTTTTAAACAGCGGTTAAGTAGAATTGTAGGTTATTAAGGTGAAGGTATTTTTTTCAAATCCACGAAAGCCTGCCTGACTAGGCCTTACAATAAGCCTGGCCCGGGTCAATGCGGCTATTGATTAACATGAATTTAAGACTCGCTGCTGTTGTTATTCTAAGGGGGGTAGCGGTTTGATTTTAAACTTTGCTTTCTTCCTAAGCGATGCTGATGATTCGAGTTATTGTCGCGTTATTAAAGATACTGGCTGAGCTACCCCCTGTGGTTGGTAGGCCCGAAGCCTTACGGCTTGCCTAGCGAGGGGCTACCGGGCAGGGGTGAGGGTTCGGGCGGCAAGGCGAAGCCGCGAAGGTCCGGTCGGCTACGCGCTAAAAAATATATATTAACGCGACTTTTTTTAAAACTTTGTTTAAGTGTTGCTTTGTAGGCTGTCGAGATGACCACGATGATGAATTTGAGTTGTCGGGTTATAGCGCGCAGAGAAATACGAGATATTGGCCAGCTACCACCTGTGGTTGGTAGGCCCGAAGCCTTACGCCTTGCCTAGCGAGGGGCTACCGGGCAGGGTGAGAGGGTTCGGGCGGCCGGCCCTGGTCTTTGGTGATTCGGCCGACTTAACGTTATGGAGAATTAAGCGTGGCTTTTTAACTTTGTATTGTTTTGTTGCTTTATAACCCGTAGACGATGACGATTATTAGAGTTGGTGTCGGGTTATAGTGCGGAGACAGAAATTAGGTGCGGGGCAAGCCACCCCACTGTGGTTAGTAGGCCCGCAGCCTTACGGTTTTCCTAGCGAGGCGCTACCGGGCAGGGTGAGAGTTCGGGCCGCCGGGCTAAGCCGCGATGATGCGGTCGGCTGACCGCTAGCACCGTTTTTTGTTAACTTAAATTAAAATCGATATTTACGATCGTCTAATCGATAATTGTGCTTTAATAGCCGTTGCTGAAGGGATACATTTATCGTAGATTTTATTAATTCTAAAGTTCGCTTTCTTTTTGAGAGACAGTAGCTGCACGTAGCGTAAGCTCCTTAAGCGTTAACGTTAGAAATTAAAGTTTAAATTAGCACGACTTGGTAAATTAGTGATGGTAGTGGTAGTAGTGGTGTACACAGTGAGTGTGGTAGTGATGGTAGTGGTGGTAGTGGTGTACACAGTGAGTGTGGTAGTGATGGTAGTGGTGTACACAGTGAGTGTGGTAGTGATGGTAGTGGTAGTAGTGGTGTACACAGTGAGTGTGGTAGTGATGGTAGTGGTGTACACAGTGAGTGTGGTAGTGATGGTAGTGGTGTACACAGTTAGTGTGGTAGTGATGGTAGTGGTGTACACAGTGAGTGTGGTAGTGATGGTAGTGGTAGTAGTGGTGTACACAGTGAGTGTGGTAGTGATGGTAGTGGTGTACACAGTGAGTGTGGTAGTGATGGTAGTGGTGTACACAGTGAGTGTGGTAGTGATGGTAGTGGTAGTAGTGGTGTACACAGTGAGTGTGGTAGTGATGGTAGTGGTGGTAGTGGTGTACACAGTGAGTGAGGTAGTGATGGTAGTGGTGGTAGTGGTGTACACAGTGAGTGTGGTAGTGATGGTAGTGGTAGTAGTGGTGTACACAGTGAGTGTGGTAGTGATGGTAGTGGTAGTAGTGGTGTACACAGTGAGTGTGGTAGTGATGGTAGTGGTAGTAGTGGTGTACACAGTGAGTGTGGTAGTGATGGTAGTGGTGGTAGTGGTGTACACAGTGAGTGTGGTAGTGATGGTAGTGGTGTACACAGTGAGTGTGGTAGTGGTGGTAGTGGTGTACACAGTGAGTGTGGTAGTGATGGTAGTGGTGGTAGTGGTGTACACAGTGACTGTGGTAGTGATGGTAGTGGTAGTAGTGGTGTACACAGTGAGTGTGGTAGTGATGGTAGTGGTGGTAGTGGTGTACACAGTGAGTGTGGTAGTGATGGTAGTGGTGGTAGTGGTGTACACAGTGAGTGTGGTAGTGATGGTAGTGGTGGTAGTGGTGTACACAGTGAGTGTGGTAGTGATGGTAGTGGTGTACACAGTGAGTGTGGTAGTGATGGTAGTGGTAGTAGTGGTGTACACAGTGAGTGTGGTAGTGATGGTAGTGATGGTAGTGGTGTACACAGTGAGTGTGGTAGTGATGGTAGTGGTGTACACAGTGAGTGTGGTAGTGATGGTAGTGGTGTACACAGTGAGTGTGGTAGTGATGGTAGTGGTGGTAGTGGTGTACACAGTGAGTGTGGTAGTGATGGTAGTGGTGTACACAGTGAGTGTGGTAGTGATGGTAGTGGTAGTAGTGGTGTACACAGTGAGTGTGGTAGTGATGGTAGCGGTAGTAGTGGTGTACACAGTGAGTGTGGTAGTGATGGTAGTGGTGGTAGTGGTGTACACAGTGAGTGTGGTAGTGATGGTAGTGATGGTAGTGGTGTACACAGTGAGTGTGGTAGTGATGGTAGTGGTGGTAGTGGTGTACACAGTGAGTGTGGTAGTGATGGTAGTGGTAGTAGTGGTGTACACAGTGAGTGTGGTAGTGATGGTAGTGGTGTACACAGTGTGGTAGTGATGGTAGTGGTGTACACAGTGAGTGTGGTAGTGATGGTAGTGGTGTACACAGTGAGTGTGGTAGTGATGGTAGTGGTGTACACAGTGAGTGTGGTAGTGGTGGTAGTGGTAGTAGTGGTGTACACAGTGAGTGTGGTAGTGATGGTAGTGGTAGTAGTGGTGTACACAGTGAGTGTGGTAGTGATGGTAGTGATGGTAGTGGTGTACACAGTGAGTGTGGTAGTGATGGTAGTGATGGTAGTGGTGTACACAGTGAGTGTGGTAGTGATGGTAGTGATGGTAGTGGTGTACACAGTGAGTGTGGTAGTGATGGTAGTGGTAGTAGTGGTGTACACAGTGAGTGTGGTAGTGATGGTAGTGGTAGTAGTGGTGTACACAGTGAGTGTGGTAGTGATGGTAGTGGTAGTAGTGGTGTAGATAGTGAGTGTGGTAGTGATGGTAGTGGTAGTAGTGGTGTACACAGTGAGTGTGGTAGTGATGGTAGTGGTGGTAGTGGTGTACACAGTGACTGTGGTAGTGATGGTAGTGGTAGTAGTGGTGTACACAGTGAGTGTGGTAGTGATGGTAGCGGTAGTAGTGGTGTACACAGTGAGTGTGGTAGTGATGGTAGTGGTGTACACAGTGAGTGTGGTAGTGATGGTAGTGGTGTACACAGTGTGGTAGTGGTGGTAGTGGTGTACACAGTGAGTGTGGTAGTGATGGTAGTGGTGGTAGTGGTGTACACAGTGAGTGTGGTAGTGGTGTACACAGTGAGTGTGGTAGTGATGGTAGTGATGGTAGTGGTGTACACAGTGAGTGTGGTAGTGATGGTAGCGGTAGTAGTGGTGTACACAGTGAGTGTGGTAGTGATGGTAGCGGTAGTAGTGGTGTACACAGTGAGTGTGGTAGTGATGGTAGTGGTGTACACAGTGAGTGTGGTAGTGATGGTAGTGGTGGTAGTGGTGTACACAGTGTGGTAGTGGTGGTAGTGGTGTACACAGTGAGTGTGGTAGTGATGGTAGTGGTGGTAGTGGTGTACACAGTGAGTGTGGTAGTGGTGTACACAGTGAGTGTGGTAGTGATGGTAGTGATGGTAGTGGTGTACACAGTGAGTGTGGTAGTGATGGTAGCGGTAGTAGTGGTGTACACAGTGAGTGTGGTAGTGATGGTAGTGGTGGTAGTGGTGTACACAGTGAGTGTGGTAGTGGTGGTAGTGGTGTACACAGTGAGTGTGGTAGTGATGGTAGTGGTAGTAGTGGTGTACACAGTGAGTGTGGTAGTGATGGTAGTGGTAGTAGTGGTGTACACAGTGAGTGTGGTAGTGATGGTAGCGGTGGTAGTGGTGTACACAGTGAGTGTGGTAGTGATGGTAGTGATGGTAGTGGTGTACACAGTGACTGTGGTAGTGATGGTAGTGGTGGTAGTGGTGTACACAGTGAGTGTGGTAGTGATGGTAGTGGTGTACACAGTGAGTGTGGTAGTGATGGTAGTGGTGTACACAGTGAGTGTGGTAGTGATGGTAGTGGTGTACACAGTGAGTGTGGTAGTGATGGTAGTGGTGTACACAGTGAGTGTGGTAGTGATGGTAGTGGTAGTAGTGGTGTACACAGTGTGGTAGTGATGGTAGTGGTGTACACAGTGAGTGTGGTAGTGATGGTAGTGGTGTACACAGTGAGTGTGGTAGTGATGGTAGTGGTAGTAGTGGTGTACACAGTGAGTGTGGTAGTGATGGTAGTGGTAGTAGTGGTGTACACAGTGAGTGTGGTAGTGATGGTAGTGGTAGTAGTGGTGTACACAGTGAGTGTGGTAGTGATGGTAGTGATGGTAGTTGTGTACACAGTGAGTGTGGTAGTGATGGTAGTGGTGGTAGTGGTGTACACAGTGAGTGTGGTAGTGATGGTAGTGGTGTACACAGTGAGTGTGGTAGTGATGGTAGTGATGGTAGTGGTGTACACAGTGAGTGTGGTAGTGATGGTAGTGGTGGTAGTGGTGTACACAGTGAGTGTGGTAGTGATGGTAGTGGTGTACACAGTGAGTGTGGTAGTGATGGTAGTGGTGTACACAGTGAGTGTGGTAGTGATGGTAGTGGTAGTAGTGGTGTACACAGTGAGTGTGGTAGTGATGGTAGTGGTGTACACAGTGAGTGTGGTAGTGATGGTAGTGATGTACACAGTGTGGTAGTGATGGTAGTGGTGTACACAGTGAGTGTGGTAGTGATGGTAGTGGTAGTAGTGGTGTACACAGTGAGTGTGGTAGTGATGGTAGTGGTGTACACAGTGAGTGTGGTAGTGATGGTAGTGGTGTACACAGTGAGTGTGGTAGTGATGGTAGTGGTGGTAGTGGTGTACACAGTGAGTGTGGTAGTGATGGTAGTGGTGTACACAGTGAGTGTGGTAGTGATGGTAGTGGTGTACACAGTGACTGTGGTAGTGATGGTAGTGGTGGTAGTGGTGTACACAGTGAGTGTGGTAGTGATGGTAGTGGTATACACAGTGAGTGTGGTAGTGATGGTAGTGGTGGTAGTGGTGTACACAGTGAGTGTGGTAGTGATGGTAGCGGTAGTAGTGGTGTACACAGTGAGTGTGGTAGTGATGGTAGTGGTAGTAGTGGTGTACACAGTGAGTGTGGTAGTGATGGTAGTGGTAGTAGTGGTGTACACAGTGAGTGTGGTAGTGATGGTAGTGGTGTACACAGTGAGTGTGGTAGTGATGGTAGTGGTGGTAGTGGTGTACACAGTGAGTGTGGTAGTGATGGTAGTGGTGGTAGTGGTGTACACAGTGAGTGTGGTAGTGATGGTAGTGGTGTACACAGTGAGTGTGGTAGTGATGGTAGTGGTGGTAGTGGTGTACACAGTGACTGTGGTAGTGATGGTAGTGGTAGTAGTGGTGTACACAGTGAGTGTGGTAGTGATGGTAGTGGTGTACACAGTGAGTGTGGTAGTGATGGTAGTGGTGGTAGTGGTGTTGACAGTGAGTGTGGTAGTGATGGTAGTGGTAGTAGTGGTGTACACAGTGAGTGTGGTAGTAATGGTAGTGATGGTAGTGGTGTACACAGTGAGTGTGGTAGTGATGGTAGTGGTGTACACAGTGAGTGTGGTAGTGATGGTAGTGGTAGTAGTGGTGTACACAGTGAGTGTGGTAGTGATGGTAGTGGTAGTAGTGGTGTACACAGTGAGTGTGGTAGTGATGGTAGTGGTAGTAGTGGTGTACACAGTGAGTGTGGTAGTGATGGTAGTGGTGTACACAGTGAGTGTGGTAGTGATGGTAGTGATGGTAGTGGTGTACACAGTGAGTGTGGTAGTGATGGTAGTGGTGGTAGTGGTGTACACAGTGAGTGTGGTGGTGATGGTAGTGGTAGTAGTGGTGTACACAGTGAGTGTGGTAGTGATGGTAGTGGTGTACACAGTGAGTGTGGTAGTGATGGTAGTGGTGGTAGTGGTGTACACAGTGAGTGTGGTAGTGATGGTAGTGGTAGTAGTGGTGTACACAGTGAGTGTGGTAGTGATGGTAGTGGTGTACACAGTGAGTGTGGTAGTGATGGTAGTGGTGGTAGTGGTGTACACAGTGAGTGTGATAGTGATGGTAGTGATGTACACAGTGAGTGTGGTAGTGATGGTAGTGGTAGTAGTGGTGTACACAGTGAGTGTGGTAGTGATGGTAGTGGTGTACACAGTGAGTGTGGTAGTGATGGTAGTGGTGGTAGTGGTGTACACAGTGAGTGTGGTAGTGATGGTAGTGATGGTAGTGGTGTACACAGTGAGTGTGGTAGTGATGGTAGTGGTGGTAGTGGTGTACACAGTGAGTGTGGTAGTGATGGTAGTGATGGTAGTGGTGTACACAGTGAGTGTGGTAGTGATGGTAGTGGTGTACACAGTGAGTGTGGTAGTGATGGTAGTGGTAGTAGTGGTGTACACAGTGAGTGTGGTAGTGATGGTAGTGGTGTACACAGTGAGTGTGGTAGTGATGGTAGTGGTGGTAGTGGTGTACACAGTGAGTGTGATAGTGATGGTAGTGATGGTAGTGGTGGTAGTGGTGTACACAGTGAGTGTGGTAGTGATGGTAGTGATGGTAGTGGTGTACACAGTGAGTGTGGTAGTGATGGTAGTGATGGTAGTGGTGTACACAGTGAGTGTGGTAGTGATGGTAGTGGTGGTAGTGGTGTACACAGTGAGTGTGGTAGTGATGGTAGTGGTAGTAGTGGTGTACACAGTGAGTGTGGTAGTGATGGTAGTGGTGTACACAGTGAGTGTGGTAGTGATGGTAGTGGTGGTAGTGGTGTACACAGTGAGTGTGGTAGTGATGGTAGTGGTAGTAGTGGTGTACACAGTGAGTGTGGTAGTGGTGGTAGTGGTGTAGACAGTGGGTGTGGTAGTGATGGTAGTGGTAGTGGTGTACACAGTGAGTGTGGTAGTGATGGTAGTGGTAGTAGTGGTGTACACAGTGAGTGTGGTAGTGATGGTAGTGGTGTACACAGTGAGTGTGGTAGTGATGGTAGTGATGGTAGTGGTGTACACAGTGAGTGTGGTAGTGATGGTAGTAGTGGTGTTGACAGTGAGTGTGGTAGTGATGGTAGTGGTGTACACAGTGAGTGTGGTAGTGACGGTAGTGATGGTAGTGGTGTACACAGTGAGTGTGGTAGTGATGGTAGTGGTAGTAGTGGTGTACACAGTGAGTGTGGTAGTGATGGTAGTGGTAGTAGTGGTGTTGACAGTGAGTGTGGTAGTGATGGTAGTGGTAGTAGTGGTGTACACAGTGAGTGTGGTAGTGATGGTAGTGGTAGTAGTGGTGTACACAGTGAGTGTGGTAGTGATGGTAGTGGTAGTAGTGGTGTACACAGTGAGTGTGGTAGTGATGGTAGTGGTAGTAGTGGTGTACACAGTGAGTGTGGTAGTGATGGTAGTGGTGGTAGTGGTGTACACAGTGAGTGTGGTAGTGATGGTAGTGGTGTACACAGTGAGTGTGGTAGTGATGGTAGTGGTAGTAGTGGTGTACACAGTGAGTGTGGTAGTGATGGTAGTGGTGGTAGTGGTGTACACAGTGAGTGTGGTAGTGATGGTAGTGGTGTACACAGTGAGTGTGGTAGTGATGGTAGTGGTAGTAGTGGTGTACACAGTGAGTGTGGTAGTGATGGTAGTGGTGTACACAGTGAGTGTGGTAGTGATGGTAGTGGTGTACACAGTGACTGTGGTAGTGATGGTAGTGGTGGTAGTGGTGTACACAGTGAGTGTGGTAGTGATGGTAGTGGTGTACACAGTGAGTGTGGTAGTGATGGTAGTGGTGGTAGTGGTGTACACAGTGAGTGTGGTAGTGATGGTAGCGGTAGTAGTGGTGTACACAGTGAGTGTGGTAGTGGTGGTAGTGGTAGTAGTGGTGTACACAGTGAGTGTGGTAGTGATGGTAGTGGTAGTAGTGGTGTACACAGTGAGTGTGGTAGTGATGGTAGTGGTAGTAGTGGTGTACACAGTGAGTGTGGTAGTGATGGTAGTGGTAGTAGTGGTGTACACAGTGAGTGTGGTAGTGATGGTAGTGGTGTACACAGTGAGTGTGGTAGTGATGGTAGTGGTGGTAGTGGTGTTGACAGTGAGTGTGGTAGTGATGGTAGTGGTAGTAGTGGTGTACACAGTGAGTGTGGTAGTGATGGTTGTGGTGGTAGTGGTGTACACAGTGAGTGTGGTAGTGATGGTAGTGGTAGTAGTGGTGTACACAGTGAGTGTGGTAGTGACGGTAGTGATGGTAGTGGTGTACACAGTGAGTGTGGTAGTGACGGTAGTGATGGTAGTGGTGTACACAGTGAGTGTGGTAGTGATGGTAGTGGTAGTAGTGGTGTACACAGTGAGTGTGGTAGTGATGGTAGTGGTAGTAGTGGTGTACACAGTGAGTGTGGTAGTGATGGTACCCACCCACTCACCCGCCAACACACCCACTCACTCCCCTACCCACTCACCCACCCACTCACTCACCCACCCACCCACTCATCCACCCACTCACTCACTCATTCACCCACCCCACTCACCCACTCCCCTACCCACTCACTCACTCACTCACCCACTCACCCACCGACTCACCCACCCACCCACCGACTCACTCACTCACCCACTCACTCACCCACCCACTCACCCACTCACCCACCCACTCACCCACCCACTCACTCACCCACCCACCCACTCATCCACCCACTCACTCACTCATTCACCCACCCCACTCACCCACTCCCCTACCCACTCACTCACTCACCCACTCACCCACCGACTCACCCACCCACCCACTCTCCCACCCACTCACCCACCCACTCTCCCACCCACTCTCCCACTCTCCCACTCACCCACTCACCCACCCACTCACCCACCCACCCACTCACTCCCCCACTCGTTCCCCGCCCACCCCACCCCTCCCCAGGGACCGCGGCGACCGCGGCGACCGTGGCGACCGCGGTGACCGTGGCGACCGCGGTGACCGTGGCGACCGTGACCGTGGCGACCGCGGTGACCGTGGCGACCGGGATTCGCACCACCGTGACCGGGAGCGCGATGGCGGCCGGGACGGCGGCCGGGACGGCGGCCGAGACCACCGCTACGGTGGTGGGGGCGGAGGGAACTCCCTCACTCCCGGGGTGACGTCACACACGGCGTCACACACAGCTGTAGTGACGTCACACAGCGTCAAACAGCGTCACACACGGCCGTAGTGACATCACACAGCGTCACACACGGCGTCACACACGGCGTCACGCACGGCGTCACGCACGGCGTCACACACAGTGTCACACAGGGCCGTAGTGACATCACACAGCGTCACACACAGTGTCACACAGGGCCGTAGTGACATCACACAGCGTCACACACGGCGTCACACACGGCGTCACACACGGCGTCACACAGGGCCGTAGTGACATCACACAGCGTCACGCACGGAGTCACACAGGGCCGTAGTGACATCACACAGCGTCACACAGCGTCACACAGGGCCGTAGTGACGTCACACAGCGTCACACACGGCCGTAGTGACATCACACAGCGTCACGCACGGCCGTAGTGACGTCACACAGCGTCACACAGGGCCGTAGTGACGTCACACAGCGTCACACACGGCGTCACACACGGCGTCACGCACGGCGTCACACACGGCGTCACACACGGCGTCACACAGGGCCGTAGTGACGTCACACAGCGTCACACAGCGTCACACAGGGCCGTAGTGACGTCACACACAGCTGTAGTGACATCACACAGCGTCAAACAGCGTCACACAAGGCCGTAGTGACATCACACAGCGTCACGCAAGGCCGTAGTGACATCACACAGCGTCACACACGGCGTCACACACAGGGCCGTAGTGACATCACACAGCGTCAAACAGCGTCACACAGGGCCGTAGTGACGTCACACAGCGTCACGCACGGCCGTAGTGACATCACACAGCGTCACACACGGCGTCACGCACGGCGTCACGCACGGCGTCACGCACGGCGTCACACACGGCGTCACACAGGGCCGTAGTGACATCACACAGCGTCACACACGGCGTCACACACAGGGCCGTAGTGACATCACACAGCGTCACACACGGCGTCACACACAGGGCCGTAGTGACATCACACAGCGTCAAACAGCGTCACACAAGGCCGTAGTGACGTCACACAGCGTCACGCACGGCCGTAGTGACGTCACACAGCGTCACACACGGCGTCACACACGGCCGTAGTGACATCACACAGCGTCACGCACGGCCGTAGTGACATCACACAGCGTCACACACGGCGTCACACACGGCCGTAGTGATGTCACACAGCGTCACGCACGGCCGTAGTGACGTCACACACGGCCATAGTGACGTAACACAGCGTCACACAGGGCCGTAGTGACATCACACAGCGTCACACACGGCCGTAGTGACGTCACACAGGGCCGTAGTGACGTCACACAGCGTCACGCACGGCCGTAGTGACGTCACACAGCGTCACACACGGCGTCACACACGGCCGTAGTGACATCACACAGCGTCACGCACGGCCGTAGTGACATCACACAGCGTCACACAGGGCCGTAGTGACATCACACAGCGTCACACACGGCCGTAGTGACATCACACAGCGTCACGCACGGCCGTAGTGACATCACACAGCGTCACACAGGGCCGTAGTGACATCACACAGCGTCACACACGGCCGTAGTGACATCACACAGCGTCACGCACGACCGTAGTGACGTCACACACGGCCATAGTGACGTAACACAGCGTCACACAGGGCCGTAGTGACGTCACACAGCGTCACACACGGCGTCACACACGGCGTCACACACAGCTGTAGTGACATCACACAGCGTCAAACAGCGTCACACAGAGCCGTAGTGACATCACACACGGCCATAGTGACGTAACACAGCGTCACACAGGGCCGTAGTGACGTCACACAACGTCACACACGGCCCTAGTGACGTCACACAGGGCCGTAGTGACGTCACACAGCGTCACACAGGGCCGTAGTGACATCACACAGCGTCACACACGGCCGTAGTGACGTCACACACGGCCAAAGTGACGTAACACAGCGTCACACAGGGCCGTAGTGACGTCACACAGCGTCACACACAGCGTCACACACGGCGTCACGCACGGCGTCACACACAGCGTCACACAGGGCCGTAATGACATCACACAGCGTCACACACGGCTGTAGTGACATCACACAGCGTCACGCACGGCCGTAGTGACGTCACACAGGGCCGTAGTGACATCACACAGCGTCACACACAGCGTCACACACAGCCTCACACAGGGCCGTAGTGACATCACACACAGCGTCACACAGCGTCACACACAGCGTCACACACGGCGTCACACACAGCGTCACACACAGCGTCACACCACCACACAGCGTCACACACAGCGTCACACACAGCGTCACACACAGTGTCACACACGGCGTCACACACAGCGTCACACACAGCGTCACACATGGCGTCACACACAGCGTCACACACAGCGTCACACACAGCGTCACACACAGCGTCACACCACCACACAGCGTCACACACAGCGTCACACACAGCGTCACACACAGCGTCACACACAGCGTCACACACGGCGACACACACGGCGTCACACACAGCGTCACACACAGCGTCACACACAGCGTCACACCACCACACAGCGTCACACACAGCGTCACACACAGCGTCACACAGGGCCGTAGTGATGTCACACAGCGTCACACACGGCTGTAGTGACATCACACAGCGTCACACACAGCTGTAGTGACGTCACACAGCGTCACACACGGCTGTAGTGATGTCACACAGCGTCACACACGGCTGTAGTGACATCACACAGCGTCACACACGGCTTTAGTAGCATCACACAGCAGTAGTAACTCTGCTGTAGTAGTCTTTGTGTGTGTGTGTGTGTGTGTCTGTCTGTGTGTGTGTCTGTGTGTGTGTGTAACACTGTGTTTGTGTGTGTCTCTGTGTGTGTCTCTGTGTGTGTCTGTGTGTAACACTGTGTGTGTCTGTGTGTGTGTAACACTTGTGTGTGTGTGTAACACTGTGTGTGTGTCTGTCCATGTGTGTAACACTGTGTGTAACACTGTGTGTGTGTGTAACACTGTGTGTGTGTGTAACACTGTGTGTGTGTCTGTGTGTGTGTAACACTTGTGTGTGTGTAACACTTGTGTGTGTGTAACACTGTGTGTGTGTAACACTGTGTGTGTGTCTGTCCGTGTGTGTAACACTGTGTGTGTGTGTAACACTGTGTGTGTAACACTGTGTGTGTGTGTAACACTGTGTGTGTGTGTAACACTGTGTGTGTGTAACACTGTGTGTAACACTGTGTGTGTGTGTGTAACACTGTGTGTGTGTCTGTGTGTGTGTAACACTGTGTGTGTGTAACACTGTGTGTGTGTGTAACACTGTGTGTGTGTGTGTAACACTGTGTGTGTGTGTAACACTGTGTGTGTGTGTGTGTAACACTGTGTGTGTGTGTAACACTGTGTGTGTGTGTAACACTGTGTGTGTGTAACACAGTGTGTGTGTGTAACACAGTGTGTGTGTGTAACACAGTGTGTGTGTAACACTGTGGTGCCGGACGGGCAACTCTGTCGTGGACAGTGCTGTGGGGGGAGATCCAATTTTGATTGGCTCCTCCCCTCATGGCATATGTGTCCACCACAGAGGCTAAACGGGGGCTCTGGACGGGTGCGAGGGGCTGGTAACTCCTCCACCTTCAATTAATTACCACGAAACCACGAGTTAAACTGAAATATGTAACTAATAAGCTTGTGCCGGAGGCCCCGGGGGGGCCAGGCGTCTATGACGTCTCCCGGCCAAACCCCAATTGGCGGAGCCAGGAGATTGAATACCTACCCTCGGGGCTACTCCAGAAACAACGAAAAGCCACTACGGGTGGCCACGTGGAATGTTCGAACGCTCACTGCAGAGGAGAGGCTGCCACTCCTCTGTCGGGAGCTGGACCGGTACCGCCTGGATCTATGCGGCATTCAGGAGGTCCGGTGGACCGGCTCTGGCTCCTGCCACCATGAGGGGTGGACAGTCCTCTACTCGGGGCAGCAGACTGCCAAACAACAGGGTGTGGCTCTTCTTTTGAACAAAAGAATGAAGGGGGCGTGGGAGCGTGGCGGTGAGGTGTGGGAAGCTGTAAACCCCAGGCTACTTTGGGCTCGCCTTCCCATCAACCGGAGGCGAGGAATGGTGGTTGTGGTTACTTATGCCCCCACCGAAGATGAACATCCGTGGATGGATGCAGGCAAATCCGATGAGTCAGATGCCTTCTATGACCTCCTGTCACAGGTGCTGGCTAAAGTGGCCCCTCGGGATAGAGTCATCATGTTGGGTGACTTCAATGCCTGAGTTGGTCATGATACTGGCACCTGGTCTGGAGTGATTGGAGGGCATGGGCCAGATCAGCTCAATAACAACGGTAGGAGGCTGCTAGATTTTTGTGCAGCCCATGGGCTTGTAATTACCAACACGCTGTTCCGGCATCGGCGCATCCACACAACATCATGGATGCATGCCGGGTCCAAGCAAGAACATCTGCTGGACTACATAGTGACGGACCAGCGGATGCGAGCCCATGTCCTTGACACCAGGACCTACCGTGGAGCTGATCTGCCCTCTGACCATTTTTAGTCATCTGTAAGATGCGCCGGCCATTCTTCCACTCCGGTGGTGGGTGTACACCCAGGACCCCATTCCAACCTAAAGTGGCCTGGTCTCAGTTATCTGATGAAAGTTGCAAGCGAGAATTTCATCATCGCTTGCGGCTGGGATTGGCATCGTCCCCGACTCCTCCTGATGTCGAGGGTAAATGGGCGAGGTTTAGGACTGTGACTCATGCAGCTGCAATGGCTGCTTTGGGTACGCGGTCCAGACCTCCCCAGAGACCCTGGCTGACAGAGGAGGTGTTCAGGATGGTTGAGAAAAAGCGACAGGCCCACTGCCATCGGCTACAGAATCCCACGTCAGAGAATGAGGAGGCTTACCGCAGCCTTCGCTCGGAGGTTCGGAGAGCCGTGAGGCGCTGCAAGGATGGGTGGTGGTCGCGGGTTGCTGAGGAGATGGAGTCTGCCTCAGTGGCCCGTGATCACAAATCTCT